AAACATATAAATGAATATGCCAATAAGAAATAGATCATTTTGATTTGGTTGTTGTGGTGATCACATGCCAGAAGAGGGCAGCACACCACTATCAAACAGCTCCATGTTACCATGACTGTTTCAAAAGGCTACATTGTGCAAGCTCTGCTCTGTGTCTACAGGTGGATTGTAGTTAGTATTAAAGTTTGTATTCACAATCATAAGATGACACACACATGTATAATGAATGTATAAGGCTTACCCATGTAATCCTCCAGTCTAACATGATTCGCCTTTTTCATCAAGCCTTGCTCCACCAGCTCCTGACACAGAGACTCAAGAGTCCTAGTAGATGTAGATACATGATTTAATCGCTTTCCTCAGCATTTGCATTGACCAATTAAATCAATATCATGCAACTCAATTTTATACTGAAAATCATTCTCTTTCACAAGAGCATCCTCTGTGCCCTCACCTATCAGCAGTCAAATCTTTCTCCTTTTTTTTCTTCTTCCCACTCTTAGATCCTTTCTTTTTCTGCAGAGGAAAAACATGTCATCTAGACACAGCTCATGGTGTGGTAATTTACTGATCTTTTACTTCTTACCTTGGCATTTCCTTTGGTTTTACCACCCTTGTCTTTATCCACAGCTAGTTTCCATTCGGCCAGCTCTTGCCTCATCTGTTCATCGACCTAAGACAGGCAGAACAGAAAAATGAGTGCAGCTGCAGGTGGTGCTGTTTTCACTTTTTATTGCTGTTATCTGCACCCGACTTTGATGTTAAATTCACTGAATGTGTTGTTGAACATGTTGTGCTCTGGAAGTGTTGTATGCTCAATTCAGCAGCACCTGTAGTCGAATCTCTGCTTCAATATCCGCCCTCTTTAGTTCCTTGATCAGCTCCACCTCATGTCTCTGGTTGAAGTTTTGTAACTCATTGCGGGATTTCCAAAAATCTAAAAATGACAAAGAGTCAGTTTAGGCTTCTTTTAAGTGAATAAGCAACTACTTTAAAGTAGGATATGCTTATACTCTGACAGAAAACTAAATACAAATAGCTATTTTGAATGTTTACATTCAAACAGGATACTTATCGACTAAACTTGGTGTAGAGTTATAACCTAATGTTAGCTCATTTGAATTTAAACACACCTGCAAATGTTTTGTTTCCTACTTCCAAGTCTGACAGAAAAGCTGAAGGTAGCATCTTCAACCCTGCTTCTTCTTCCTTAGATAAGAGTAAAGTCATATTGTTAAAGATTATGTGTAAACAGGTGAAATATAACATTATATATTTTATTTTGTTTAAAAGAAAAGCTGAAAGAACTGAATTATTCTTACTTCCTCCTCATCCTTCCCCTTGTCCTTCTTCCCATCCTTCTTTTCATCCTTCCCTTTCGGTTTGTTGTTGGAATCCTCCTCTTCCTTTGCTGCAATTTCTTCCCTTAACTGAACAAATATGTGCACAACAATGCTTAGTCCATTGTTTGCAAACTACAGAAAAGTTTATGTAAAATAATCATACTTTGGTTCAGGGTGTATTTTACCTGCTGAGGGTCTTTTTCAGCAAAAATGAGAAGTGAGCCTCCATCCTCCTCATCTGGGTAATCTGGAAATGATCCTGTAGCATCACTATTTTAAGTATAAAAAAACCCATTAAGTATAGAACACAGTGAATGACCAAAATTGAATGAGGATATGCTTTAATAAAATCAAAAACACATAATACGTGCCTCTGTATCTGCTTACCGGCATTCAATGAACCACTGTCGGATTTGTTCTTTCATGGTCTTGCTCATGTCATGTGCCTCTAAATCTCTTATTTGGTTTGTGACTGCCACAACAGACTTCAGATAGTCTTCTTCATACTCCTCCTGTTTAGTGCGAGAAAGATCTGCGCTGGCCTGGGCAGCGATTTCTGTAGGGTGAGGCACCTGGTACTTCGGATCCATGACCTATCATGGGTGTGACCAAACATACTTTGTATGTTAAAAATGACTATGTGCAAAATAAGGAACGTTTATAAGAAATCGTCACTTTAATAGATTGAAATATGAACATGTAAAACAGAACAAGGAAATATGGCAGTACAGCTTTCCTGGTTAAGTTTCTGATTTTAACAGAAAGCCAAGACAAAGATGACATGTGGCTTAAAAATATGCTTATTATAAAGCTTTGGTGTTTTTTACAAAAGTTATGGGTGTATTTTACACAGTGAGTGTGAGAGAATTAGCTTTATTAATGATCCCTTTTACTCACCATTCCTAGGAAAATCATTTCTTCCTCCCGATCAATCTTTGCCCTTTTCCTCTGTATGTAGCCTCTCCAAACCTGCAGGTCACATAATTTAGTCTACCAGCAGGAAAAATGACAAAATCAAAACAAAGAGGCAGTAGAAAGTGGGGATAGAGTCATGTCAATGACAAAGAACCTTTTGAATGCAAACAGATGCCAACTCAATTTCAGCGGTTCCAGGGTCCTTGGTTCTGTACATCCTGTTCATGTTTCTGCTTTCTACATTCAACTTTGCTCTCTGGCGTCCTTGGCGGGCCCTCTCCAACACCTGAATGATCTTAATAGCCTCCTCCTGACTCATGTCCTTGGCCATTAGAGGCTATATGGATCATATTGAGACAACATATTTGTAAAAAAAAATGTCTTGTTGGAACTGATTGATTAGATGTAATAAGATAGGAAATAAAACATGTTTTTCCAGTCAAATCTCACACTTTCTTGCTTTTTTTTTAAATCAACATTTTTGTACATAACAAAGAAAAATATTAAGTGAAATGCCCAAATCAAAAGCAAAAAATCAAGTCACACAACAACAGGCTTTGTGGAAGTACTTAACTCACTTCTGGGATTCCAGTGTCCTCCACCATTTTAAGGATTTCTGTCAGCATTGCCTTTCGTTCTTGGAGTTCTTTGTTGCGCTCACTAATGAAATAGCGAGGGATAGGGATTTCAAGGTCTGTCTGGAGTGAAAAAACAGAACCAGCATTATCTCAGTATTAAAGGACTACCCTGATAAGACCTGCTGAGTACATTGGTGTGATTTAAGTCAAGTCATTACAACAACGCAGGTTCATCACATTTACTACAACAAAACGCCACTCACAGGTAAAAGCTTTAAGTCATGAAGGACATCATCCATGTAATGGTACTCGGAAAACTCTTTTTCCACCATTTCATTCTTCAGCTCCAACACCCTGCCCATCACACCATCAACAATGGCCCGAATAACTCTTCTCTTCTGGGGATGGACCACTTGGTCATAGACTGTTTCCAGCTGTCTGAAGATTTGAATGTACCGCACATACAGCATGGCTAAGCGCTGGAAGAAAACCACCCTGTCCTTTTCTGGGCGAAGGGGTTCAGCAGGCAGCTCCTCAGTCAGCAGTCGACTTAACTCTAACTGGGCATCTGCCCACAGCTGGTTGTAAGTCCTGGAACAGTGTACACAAGTGATGAGGACAATGGCACCAAAACTAACAGAGGGTGAGAGACAGTCAAGTAGAAATATATGATAATTCATGTGTATCAGAGTTACACTAACATTCTGCGAGGTATTAACAACTGCTTAGACATTGCTTGGATTGTTTTAATGGAACCGGCTTACGATGGCTAACAGGCTAAAGTTAAATGTAACCACTAACAACACCATAACCGTAAACTGGACCTTTACTAACTGCGTAAAAGTTTACCTTTGCGACATGTGTCTGTCTTCAGATGGAAACCTCAATGCTGTCTATGTTTTTTTTTTTCTTTTTAAAAACAAACAACTAAAACTGGGTCCTAAAACTAAACTAACGCGTTAGCTTATCAAACATGGGGGTCAGCCTTCTTCGTTGACAGTGCCCAGCTCGTTTCTATGGTAACAGTCTTCCGGAAGTGAACTACGTCTATCGCTGGAAATTTGGCCAGGAACCTGTTGCTGTCTATCGTCACCACATCGTAACCTACAGTCTATGATCGTAACACGGAGAACAGAAATTATTAATGCAATAATAATCATAATAATCATAATAATAATCACCATCATCATCAACAACATAATAATATAGCCTAATAATAATCACAATAATGATGATTGGTATTATTATTATTATTGTGGGTGTTATCAAAAACACAATATTCCAAGTGCAATTAATTTTACTTCTGGGACAATAAGTGAGAAACCCCATGGTAAAGTCTTTTCTTTCGATTTGATCCTGTCAGAAAAAAAAAAAAACGTGTTTCTAAAATAGTGTATGACGGGATAGTCTACATGTAAGTGCAACAGTGTGCTGTTTAGCTGCAATTGCCAGAATACGCTTCAGCAACATGGAAAGCTGATTTCGCTCAAAAACAAATCCACTTGGCAAATAATGACTGAGGAAAATGTATTGCAATTGTGTTCGTTCGTTCAAAATTAGCCTACACTCCTACATCACACGGTTTGTAATCACTTGGACATTTCTTGCACAAATAGCACCACAAATGGTTCACTTACTATTTTAGTGTTTCTCTGTGGTTTTGAAATACACCTTGGAATTTCATATCACTTTTTTTCCTGCAAGCTCCATCGCAATAATATATTTATACCCAAAAAGGGTGGAAAACTGCCGGATGGCTGCTCCTGGAGGCGCATTCTCTGCAGCGCTTAGGCGGTCACAAGACTTCAACATCGGTGAACAAACACATCGCAACGCTGACAGGTCAGCTTGAACTTACAGGCCACGGATTCTTCTCGTTTCTGCTTCCAACATCCAACAAGTGGGTACATTTGGAAAACTTTACACCACAGCGCTACGGTCTTTTAAACTTTTTTTTTTTAACTGTAGTATCGGTGAGGCTTATTTTGTATGCGAAATAATTTCTCTGTCGGGAAAGAGTTATTTTAACTTGAAGTTAAATAGTCCTGTTAAACTACAACTTGTGATGTTTGGTGCGTAAAGGAGGGGCGCATGCCAAAGTGAGCGAATGCCACTGGAAGAATTTGCACCAAAGATGTCAACATTGCTTTACCACCCACTCGAAATCGATTGTATTATCTTCAAGAAGGTGGCTCCTCGTATAAATAGGGTCGCATTATTTGAAGAAAGACGGTGGTGAGCACAATCTGCTAGCTGTTCTCTCTCTCTCTCTCTTTCTCTCTCTCTCTCTCCTCTCGGGACCGCAGACAACGCCTGGAAGAATTTGCTGAAGACATCTCTGTCCACTTTCCAGGACATAAGCATATTTAAATCCTAAACTAGTAAGTATAAAGTTAATATAACTTTATTGTTGTACCCGTAAATTAAACTGGAGATATTACAGCTGCTGCGTAAAGTGGATGCACCACACTATTTCCTGCGATTGATTCAGCTTTTAGAGCGTATTCTTACAGGGAATGCCTTTTGTCATTTTGTCAATGTGAAAAATCTCAGATTGTAAATTCTGCTAATACATCTGCTGATTAAGCCTGGTGCAAAGTGTATGGCCATCTTTTTGTCTGTCAGAATCTCCAAAAAAAATACTGGAATGATTCTAAAGAAACTCTGAGTAACAAGCCATGTTTGCTTCTTCTTTTTTCAGACAGTGAAGTCATGCAGGTGGAGAGGAAATGGCACATACTCTTGTCTATATTCTTTCTGCTCATCACCTCAGGCCAGTGCATGGACAGCAAGGACATGAAGCAGAAAGAAAGAAGGACCCTGTTGGATCTTATCTTACAGGTTATCAGAGACAGCCAGCACCGGGACAAAGGCGTCTCCAGGCGCTGTAGCAGTGGACTCCTCACTTCAGCCCAAGACATGAAGTTCTCCTCCCGGGAAAAGCCTTACTATGTTCCTAGGCTGGATAACAGTAGACTCATAGGTAAGCTGATAACATTTATTTTTAGGTCCTAATCATGAAAGCATAATCCCCATTTCTCCGGTTGAGACAGCTGTCATCTGTCTGGTATGAGCCGTACACCTTATTAATGAGCCTTTTTTAGTTTGGCTGTATTGAACAAAGCCTGTGCATGTTAATTCAAGTTATATAGAATAGAACGTTGGGATGTCTGTTCATGTACACTTAAAAGGCATGACAAAGTGTCCAGATAGTTCTGTCCTCAGATGTCCACCTAATTTAAAGTGACTCTTTCATGCAGAGGTGGGCTTTTTCTGTGTAGGAAAAAAGGAGTTCTTTACTTTCATAAAATGTTATTTTCTAGACACCTTTTCCCAAGGTGTCAGCCATACAGTTTCTCTCCTTCATTCAAACTGTAAATGGCTGATGAACACAGATGTGGAAAGGTACTATGAGTGCATGTAGGAGGAGCGTCATGCCACATTTTTTGAATGATTCATTCAGTATGATTCATTGTGAAATCTAAAACATGAATGATGGTTTAAAAACACACAAAGACATCTCATTCAAATTATACATCATACAAGATTAGCTGTGGTGTGTTTGATTGATGTAATTTGAAGCTAACACTCTTTTACGCTATGTTTGTGGAGTGATGAAGATAGGTAGACTTGCACTTCATTCATCTGAAATGTAAAGCTGTCCAGGTCACATTGCTGAGAAGAGAATCATAATCTTACCTGAGCAACTCAGCCTTCAATATTTTCCTCCCCTAAAAAATATTTGTTGACAATTTTCCTATAGTGCAAATGGATGTTGAGCATCATCAAATAAGTAAAAATGTGCTTTATTCACTTAAACAAAAGCATTATGTCACGACTAGGATTCATTTATGAATGAACGCTAATCTTGCACAACATTTCTTCAACTATTTCAGATCCAAGAAAGAAGTTTTTCCCAACACAGACTGTATTTAACAAAATATCCAGAAAATGTTTTCAGTGTGAGAAACTTAGAGTGTCCCTCTAGGCCTTTATAGTTAACTTAGTGCCATGAGAGCGAAATGTGTTGTTTATCTACAAAGTCAAATTGTACTCTTTGACTTCACTATCAATTAGATGATGTTTTGGAGACATTACCCAGGCCTTGCAAAGCTCAAAGTCTGGGCCCAGGCTTATGGAATTGGAAAAGTACCTTTCTCAGACCAATGGTTGGGTGGAATTTATCTTCAGAGGATATTAAAAGCAGCATATTAGCAACTGGTGCGTGGGACACTATACCAAAGATCATGGTCACGCAAGGATACACTTTTGGAACCCAATGATGAGGGAGGATAAACATCTGTAGGCTTGCTAATGTATGTTTGAGCCTCAAACATCTCTGCATGCTTCTGAAATACCACGGCGAAATACCACGGCGGTGTCACCAGAGGACATGACACAGGGGGATAGATTTGTTTACAGCTGGTTTTATCAGTAAATTTTATTTTTCATATGTGTGGCACAATTATTAAGCTCAACATCGACAGATGTGGACTTTTGTATTTTTTTATTTGTTGACATGCATTTATTAAAGCACAGGGAAATACAGTACACAGGCTTTGAGCTGCCAAACCACATCAGATGACTTTGTGTAATCCAGCCTGCCATTGAACTCTTTACATCTGGGTCTTGGTTTTAAAGACAGAGTTGGCTCTAATACATCAGAAACCATTTAGAACTGTAAAATTTGTGTAACTATTAACAAGCATGAATGGGCTGGTTTGTTTAAGTATTAAACTGGCAGTCATCCTCCTCCTATAGTTACAGCGTTACAACCTGCTCCTGGGTCGGGGGGCTAATGTGATAGGAGCCCAGTAACTCCTAGCATGGACTTATTCTGATGAGCATTAAGCTCAAATACAATAATCTCTTTAGCCTGTTAGCATGGCTAATGTGTTATCAGACACCTACATGGATGAGTAGAGGGGTGTGAGTATGAAATACCTACAATGACACCACCAGATCTCTTAGAGAATAACATACACATGTAGAGATTTATCACAGAAATACTGCATAAAATGCTCCGTTAACAAACTCATTCATGGTTAACAATGTCCATTTGTAATGCTTTAGTTAGAATTTTAGTTAAATAGCAGGCATGGGTGCAAGAATCAGAGATCAGTCAGGATATGCGTCATAGAGAACTGCTTTTTTTTTTTTTTTTCACCGAAACTTGTGATAGTAAGACCTAAAAACGACTGTTGACTGACAGGCTAACAATGTTGTTCTTTTTCAGAAATTTTTCCTAGAGATGTAAACATGAAAGACAAATTCATTCAGCATTTCACAGGTAAGAAAATGCCATGAGTGCAAAACTTTTCTGTGGACTATTATACCTAGAATATGTCTTTTAGAGGATGGTTGGCTGTTAATTATTAGTCTTTCCCTCTTCTAAGTCGGCATACAGTATGTGTAAGGCCTAGAGAGCTTTGTGAACATGGGCACTGCTCTGGGTCAGGGTAGGGTTGCTGGCTTAGCTGTAGGGCCAGGCTTCAGGGAAATTGCTCATGGTCTGAAGGCGACAGAATTAAGTTGAAGGCTGTGCGGGGTTAAGCTGATTATTTGTCTCAGGACCTTTGACTGGACTTCATTATGGGTGTGAAAATCTGCAAGTTTAAATGTTGGTTAAAAAAACCTCGGAGGTGATTATTATTACTGACATGGTTCTCTGTTAAGTCCTGTTGAACCCCGACTCTGTAACCATGTGCTGTTCACTTTCACTTTGTAATGTTGTTTTCTGTTGATAACTCGTAAATTCGCAAGGGCTTTAGGCATTTCTGGAAGCAAAATGGCAAGAAGGAAGATAATTAAGCAAAATAAATCTGTTCCAGCTTGCCTGATTCGACCTTTTTCCATTAAGCAGGACCAGTCAAGTTCTCATCGGAGTGCAGAACTCACTTTCATAGACTTTATCACAACACGAGGGATTGTTCGAGACCAGCATGTATGTATGCCATTTTATTCCTCCATGTTGCTCTTTTCATCCTTTGCTCAAAGCTTGTTGTGCCATAAATATCCCAAGTATTAATGTGTCCCAGACCCTTCAAATCTGTGTTTCAGCTTCTTGCTGTGAGGGATTTCAATAACCATGAGAAAACATTTCCTGGAGTGTCAACAGGTTTTGATATTTCAATTAACAGAATTCTGTTGTTTGCTTTCTATCATCTGTTTCTTCTTTTTGATTTAAGGTGGGCGGGGCTTACCAGAAGGGTTAATATCACATACTTCTGCATTTCTAGAAGGGTTTAACATAATTTGAACAAATCTATTGAAAAACTCTTGGTTGTTAATCCAATCTGAACAAAATTCAGCCACACAGAAGAACTGAAAAGTTGTTTGATAAGCTAGATAGTTTTTGTCTTCCAACTTTAACTTTGTTCACAGAAAGAAAGCAACAAATTCTTGAAAGTTGAAATCATGAAGATCTCCTATGATTCGTACAGTTTTATGGCAATAAGCATTAGTTGTGTTTTTATGGATTTGCACTTTTAATGTTCACTATGATAGACATCATTCTTTTCTGGGTATGTTCAGACATAATATCAGTTGTGTGGAGAATCATTTTAATTCAAATCACTTTTCTGCAGTTTCCCTGTATACTAAATTGATCATCATCACACTAACGGACCTGTCTAGCCTTACCGGACAACCTTTGGCCGCTGCAAATCCAAAGAATCAGCGTATAAGGATTATTCAGCACTGAATGGTGTAGTGCAGTGGTGTAGTGCAGGGTATACGCAGGTATATGGAATATACCCACTTATATTTCAGTCACCATAGAGTATGCCCACTTCTAAATCTCCTCTGATTAACACCATTGATTTATCGGCAATATTCAGTATGTTGCAATTTTTGTTCCTCGGATGGTGAAGGGATGACCCTCCCTACTCTTTCTCTATTGGCAGTACGCACTGACTTAATATGCAAGAGGAGTCATGTCACTGTTTACAACAGAGGCCGTTTTTACTCTGCTAGAAGGGCCACTTAAAAATAAATAATTGGGGGTACAAATTAAAAGTATACCCACTTCTTTAGGCACCACTACATCACTGCTCAAAGGTGGTCAGCTGACTGCTTCCGCCTCCTTTCTCTTCTCGACTAACCACTGAAACAATAAACACTATAAAACACAACAATTATAATACCTATAATACTGCCAATGCAAGAACGTATATAGTGAGACAAAGGATAAATCACTGTCATGAGAACTTATTCATGAGAACATAAAAACTTAACAGACATTTATTTAACAATCAATCTTCAGTACTATGCCTTTAAGGTACATTGCCATTAGGGAAAGTATTTTAATTTTGGATTATTGTACTTTACTAAAATGTGTAAGGTTTTGTCAATTTGGCACCTGACCCTCTAAAGGAGAGATGTGTCAAACCCTGAAAAGGTTGGATTTTTCTTTGAGGTCATATAAACAATACCAAATGGTGGTGTCCCTTTATCAGATTTTTGACTTCATCCAGTACTTCATATTTTAGATAATAAAAAAAGAAATTACATTTGTTCAGCAGAATACCCCTCTGGTAAGTTCACATTTGGAAATTAGAGAGATGACGCAAAGGGGGCATCAGAGAGTGATTCCAGACGATGTTCCCCCTGTTGCAGATGAATATCTGTTTAGCTTGACTTGCGTGTGTTGTGGACAGAGTCTGTTTGTGCTGCTTTTTACAGCTGTGATGCAGTCACAAGTGAGCATTAAGTCAGACTAAAAGCGATGAATTATTATTATCCTGTAAATAGTAGGAAGTTTAGCTTGAACCGGACAGGGACGCATGGAGGACAGAAACAGAAGGCAGACAGCTAACAATCAGACTGGACCTATCTTTCTATTGGGTTGGGATGACATAGAGCGTATTATTGAGAGCAACACTTATGGTTCATCTTTCATGTTCATTTTACTGATGGTGATATTATAGCAAACCTGACTACTTGTGAACTCCACATGCAGAGCTGATCTGTTACAGGAGCAGTGCAGCTTTATACACTCAGTCAGGAGATAGCTTATTGTGACTCCTGTGACGTCAGTTCTGTGAATTATGTCCTTTTTAATGGTCTGAACATTTCTTTGTATCTTACCTTGATGGATTCAAGTTCTTTTAAACACATATTGTGGTTAAAAGCTTTACAGTAAATCCACATTATTTTAGATAATAATTTCAAAAATACCTAAACTGTATTACATTTTGTTGCAAAAATGTGTAACTTGTTTCTATTGTTTTTCCAATGTTTATTGATCCAACTATGTAAAGAGGTCATTTTTATTTCTGGGTTTTAAATGGCAGGTTATAACATATTCATGTACTCTTTTTTTCAGATTACAAAAGATGTGCAAGATTGCTAACACGGTTAGCAATGAGTCCTCTCTGCATGCAATCATAGAAAATGCATGTAAGTAAAAGTATTTTTTTTAACTTTTTTTGCGTGTTGGTCTGTCCATAAACAATTACACCGGCTCCTTCTGAATGCCCGCTAGCTGGAAAAGTTGATCAAGAGATTGGAATAGATCATTTTCATTCACACAATAGATTATTTGGATTCTCTAATGATGTCGTTTTAGCTTGAAGGGATACATATTCTTGGTTGCTTGTGGTCCTATCGGCTGTTTTGAAACTGGATAAAACTGAAGCTCATATAATCAGAAACATACCTGTTGTGCATCTGTTCAACATTTGTACTTTCAAAGAACATTGTGCTTCTTAGTGTTGGACATGTTGAAATATTTAACTGTCAGAGGGACAGTCTTTAATCTTAATTTCATCTTTTATTTGAGTTTGGTGTGGGTTGGCTGAAGAACACAAATCTATTTAAGCACGATCAGGACATTTTTCAAACAACATATTGTGAAGAAATGTGGGTGATAAATGCGTGCTGTGTTCATAAATTCTAGTAAAAAGGTTTCTTGACATCTTACTTCAAAAACATCAAAGAAGAAAAACTGCAAGCTCCAAAGATTGATGTCCAAGCAGATTATTTGCTTTTTTGTTGTTCTTCTTTTTCTACAGGAAAAGAAGCCAAACTCTCATTGTTGTTTTTTTACAGTATAATTCGTTGAAGTCATCAGTATTTGCCAACGCATCAGCATTTCAGCAACATTTTATTTGCCTCAAGACCTTCAGTGAACACTTGTTTGACATGACTACATTTGTGGCTACATTGATAAAACCAGATTTGCTTGAGCTCTTGAAACGGACTTTATAAAACGTCTTTAACCTAAGATCAGTGTGGTCTGTAGATGACCTTCACTAGGTTCTGGGATGACTGACACACATATTCAGGGCAAGACAAAATAGTATTTTTTACTAAATTGAATAATCCTAAATGTACACTTTGAGGACAGAAGAATAGATGCAGATCATTTGAGAGTTAATAATGATGAAATACTTTTACACTCTGAGCCCAGCTGTTTCAGTGATTGTGAGAATGTTAACTTGATTGTCATCACCTTGAAGTTAATGACTATCATTACACGAGTTGAGTAGTGAGGGATGCAATCCATCTGCTTATTTTGGTTTTGAATGAGAACTTTAAGCAAAGAAAAAAGGAAGGAAGAATAGAAACAAATGCTGTATTTGTGAGCATCCCTGCTTGGAATAATTTATTTGGTAGATTGTAACTTTTAAGGGGCGCTACATATATGTCTATGGTCTATATATGTCTATTTTTGGTTCAGTGTTGTATAATCACTTAAATACTGCTGATCCCATTCTGAGGATCCTTTCCTGCAGGGAAAAAATGCCTATGAAAACAGATTGCCCAGTAACACAAATTAAACATCTCTGTTACTGTTTCTGCAAATGTAACCATGGCAATTATCTAGGGCTGTGCTGGTGTAAAATGTTTGGAAAAGGTGAAAGATTCATATTTTCCCAGAGCCAAAACTGGAGTCTTTTTAAAAAAAAAATGAAATGTGCTATGTGTGTGCTAAATGTGTGTGTCTAAAGTCGACATAACAACTCAAAACCCCAAAGTTGTTCAGCTCATAGTGATGTAAAACAGAGAAAACTGGTCAGGAGTGTTGTTCTGTTGATTGATTTAGTGATTTTTCTTTGTCTTATGTCATCTCTTGGTGTGATTCAGGGATCTGTCAATGTTTGGCTAGACATAAAGGTGCAAATCCTATCACATTCTTTGGATAGTCATGTAAAAAAAAAAGATGCAACAGATGTCCTAGAATTCAGTTTGTATACTAATGTTAAAATTGCAAATGACACATGGATAAATAATCATTTGTGAAACATTTTTACTGTCTGTTTACCAGATATTAAGGCCAATTTCTTCTCAACAGGATATAAATGTACAATTTATTGCATTAGGAAATTATTTTAGCAAGAAATTACTTAAAATCCTAAGCTAACCCCTAACACACTTTACCTTAACATAGCCATTCTCAAGACAAAGGCTGACTGAGACTACCGTCAGTCCTTTAAAATTGAACATAGTCATAGCCATCCCCTTTGTTAAAGTGATTTTCAGTGACAGCAGGTCTGATGCATTCACTGCCATCCAATCCTACATGTGCTTGCTTTGAACCCAGTTAGGTCTGTGCGGTGAGTGATTGCTGCAAGAAAGTTCATCCACACAAGTGGACATTTCAGTTCATTTGAGTTTTTTCGTGGTATAGGACTTCTGCTGATGATCAAATTGAAGCCACTGACACATTCTCAGGTATTCAGTTTCTCAAGTGAATCGGATAATAAGATCCTGTCTGCACAGTTCTGAGAAATATGCCAAATGTATATCACAACCGGAGAGCTTTTTAAGGGTTATTAAGTGATTCATTATTCATGATCTTTTTAGAATGAGCTAAGAAGTAACACAAGTGAACACCTGTAATAGCAGGGCAGTAATGACCCACTTTAGAAGCTGATAACACTACTTCCTCACAGAGGCTGAGATGTCAAGATGTGTCTTTGCCAATACTGCTCAGAATTTTTTTTTCCCCTTAAACTGATGCTTGTAAAAGCCTGCAGAAACTGGACATATTTATCTCTAATAAGATGATTTTTTTCTTTCCTAATTTCATTTCAGGACCCAAAACATTGGAAGAGGGATCAATGCGTTGCCAAGGAAGTGCCTTCAAATCCACAGCAGTCATATGAACATTGTTGCGTTTATAGTCTTTCTATTTTTGTTGTCATTCCTCGAAATGCCAATAGACGTTGTTGGTTTTTTTTATGAATGGGTTTTCTTTTTGTTTCAGTGTACCATATATACCATATATTTGTTTGTTGTTGAACAAACATTAACTTAATATTAAAAACACCTATTTATTGAAAAGGTATGTAAATAATAATTGGTTATTAAAGTTATTTCTGATGGAGAGAACGTTTTTTTATTATTGTTATTATTATTATTTTTCTCCTATTTGAATTCCCCTCCCACTGTTGGTCTGAATGATTTGTCACTTTTCGTCGTTGTCTGCATTCGATTTAATTTGGCACTTGAGTGATTGCTGACAATGAGAACATATGGAATGACTACAGTGGTGATGATTCACTGCAGTACTGAACAATAAAGAATATTGAAGCACACTATATTTTGGTATTATTGAAGATGAGAGGAAATATAAAGAAGATTCAGGGTTGGATTAGCCCTGCACAGGCTGACAGTGTCATGGCTGTGACTGCATGAGGAGCTCAGGGGAGTTGACTGTTTTTATTGTTGACAGTGTGCGGTTGAGTCCTGACACATTTGTCCTCTCCACAGCGTCATGAAAAACTGTAAAACAACACTGAACATACTGGATTTCATTATGAACATCCCTTTGGAATTCTCTCATTCTTCTTTTTCTGGCTTTTTTCAGCACCTTGCTCGAGTCCCTGCTCCTCTGAACACCCCATTACCTTGAAATCAGTGCAAGTTTTTTGGCAGATTTTTTGTGTTTGCGTCTCTTGCAATCACACACTCAATCACAGCTGTCAGATATCTTGGACTCAACAGGATGTTGAGCAACTCAAGCTCAACTGGACTAAATATACTTCAGAAAAGATAAAATAACCTTAGTGAAGTCCTTAAAGGAAGGGTTGGTAATTTTCAAAAACAAGCATGATTTTGAAAGGAGCATTCCCTCAGTGCTCTGTCTACACCCACCCCCTCCCCTCTGTGCTCCCTCAAATGCCACGCCCCTCACTTACTGTACATGCACAAGCGCAATTGGTCCAGAAGCGGAGCTCAGCTCATGCTTTGGGTAGAGAATGAGCAGGGAGACGGGGAGGCGTGATTGGTTCATCAAACTGGTAAAAACTGGTAAAGTTTTTACACGCTTACAACTGCTACAGATGATGGATTTTCTTTGTTCCCTTTTCAGAGCACATGAATTATAAATGTCTGTTAGGACCTAAAGACAATTTCAACCAAAATCTTAAAAAAAGTGTATCTAGAGAAAATTACCGACCCTACCTTTAAGTCATCAAATATGCAAGGCTGTTTTTTTCTGTAGAGATTAAATTGTGAGGCTATATTTCAATTTAACTGAATGATCCTCATTTTATGTATCCTTGAAATAAGTTGTTTTGCCTTTACGAAGGCTTTGCAAATTGCTGTAACAATTTTTTTTTTTACAAATGTCATGCGCAGTTAAGGAGGCAAACTTGTTCTTGACCAGTATAATCCAATTAAAGTAGTGTGCCTGGTATTACAGCCCTTGAGCTACAGCCAAGTCTTATGGTAAACTGGCAGAAATCTGACACACTGTGAACATAGTGTGATGTCAAACTTGACTTCTTTTAGCGCCAAATAAAAAAGTGTTTATTTTCTCACATATGATCCTGCTTGTTTGCCTTCAATGCTCAGTTTATGGAAAACAGTAAACACTGCTATGGGAATATTAAGAAATTAAGACAAGAAAAGCTGAAACTTCCACAGAGATAAAGGCATGTGAGCAGCATCAAGATTAAACTTTTCCCGATCTTTGTGATTTCTGCTGGGGGTTTGAATTAGCTACCCTTACAGTAACACGGTGCTGTAAATTCCTAACAAAACAAACAGGATCCAATGTTCTCCTTCCTGTCATGTTGTATCATCTTGTACTGAGATATGCGCCTGGGGAGGAGTTACAGTGATTGTCTGCTGTTTTTATTCCAGTAGTCAAATAAATATTGAGCCAGGCATACATAGGGATGCTGATAGACAAGGTTCTGAAGAAAACAAACTCTGAGCTAAAGATTACAACAGCTCAGTTCTCACGCCAGCATGTCTCTCTATAGACTCATCAGGAACAGTTTGTCACATTGGATCATGCATTAGTCAACAAAGTTTGGCTTGTTGTGGGATCATTAAAAAGTCATACACAGAAATGTGGCAGTTAAAAAGGTTGTGAATAAAAACTGCACTGAAAGAAAATCACAGGAGCGTGACTGTGATCTTGTGAGAATCACCATTTTTCCAAATGAAATATTCTGAATGGCCATAAAATTGATCCTCGCCTTTCTTTCATAAACCACAGCTTCCTCACAAACATGAGTCCAAAAAGAAAATAATGCTACCAAAAAATTTGCATAATCAAGCTTTTACTCTCTGGGATTTTGTATCATGATTACTTCAGACAATTAATGGAAAAGAGTGATGTTTTCTGCCCCAACTATAAAAGGATTAGGCTGCTAAAAATAAAGCTTGCACCTTGTGCGGATGCACTGGGGATTCCTTACCCTCCGGGTGGGCAGGGCAGGAACACCGGATCCTCATCTGAGGTGGATATCACTTATCTGGAGACAAACAGCACAGATTAGGAGAGGAGACAGAAGATACACTAGGGACAGAATGTGGGAGGGCTCTAACACAATTACACACAAGCACCAAATCCCTCCTCCGATACCTCTGAGAAATGCTGCTGCGATAAATAGTAAATAGAGACCAAAGCCGGGCCAAGTCCTTCCTGTCAGGCAAGCACCCCGCAGCAGAGAAATGAAACACCCCAATGTTTGTTAGACACCTCCAATGCACTGTCATGAAAAACATACTGGCTTTTTTCTTCCACTTTCCTTCAAGATCAGCCATGATATGGCTCATCGGTAAAACCAGTCTAGCTACAAACTTAAGACATTTTTAGAAAATCCAAATTCTGAGTTGATATCAGCGCACCAATTAGTGTGCCCCATTTCCTGTCTTTGATCGAATAAATCATTTTTATTTGATTAGCCTTTGGCACTGACCAAAATGATCCAAGCCCCAACTATTCAGGGAAAATCATGAATAGCATATAACCTATAAAACCTAAACATGGCTCCTATGACGTATATCAAACTCCCCCCCATCGGCTGCAAAAAATTTGTTGCAAAAGTGAACACTTTAATCCAATTTCTTAGACCCCAAGGCCTCGTGCAAGCAAACCACCTTATTTATAGTGACTGCAGTAGTCTTGAAAATGGTTGTAGATGGCTCATTGATTCACTCCATGTCTCATGATTAATTCATGGCTCTTCCTATGTCTTTGGTGGAATACGTAAATCCCTACATGAGTCACCAATAATATACATTCAGATAACATAGCCCTGATTAGGATTTCGACGGTTGTAAGATGAAATCATTCTCATCATCATCAAGAGCTCCTTTTTGGCACTACCAAGGCACCAAAATGCAAATACACGAGATGACTGACTTTGACAGATTTAATAACAAAGCATGTCTTCTGTTCCATTGTGTATTACGGTACAAGAGGTTTGAATATGTGTTTACCCTCATGTTGCACTTCCAGGATTTTAAATGGACTCGGGTTGATGTTGAATACGACAAGTTTACTGGGAAATGAGTTGCTGCAGCTCTGTCTCTGTGCCAGCTGTGTGTCTTTGATCCCATGTGCTCGAGGTGTTGGCAGAGGTCTCCTTGCCACCCTCCTCCATTGTGTATTAGTTCCATTGTGTATTACGGTACAAGAGGTTTGAATATGTGTTTACCCTCATGTTGCACTTCCAGGATTTTAAATGGACTCGGGTTGCTGTTGAATACGACAAGTTTACTGGGAAATGAGTTGCTGCAGCTCTGTCTCTGTGCCAGCTGTGTGTCTTTGATCCCATGTGCTCGAGGTGTTGGCAGAGGTCTCCTTGCCACCCCCTCTGCATGTCCCACACTGTGTGTTCTCTGACGCCATGTCAAATACCAAACGCATTGATTTACTGCAAGGCATCTGTCAGCTCGATCACTTTTTGCCCCTAACCAGACATGTGACATACTTCAGATTTAATTCAGCATTAGCTTTGATAATAATAATGAATTACATATTCTAATGTATATGAGTTTAAAAGGTAAGACTTCAATGGACAGATAACTGATTTGCTTTGACACGAGCAGCTTCTTCACCTTAAACAAACTGCAACGCCGTCCTCATCTGTAATACCAGATTCATGAGAAATTGTTTTTTTAAAGCTGCATACTTTACTTTGAGTTAAAGTCACAGACTGCTCTACTGTACATGGCTTTCAAAAATTGCAAATTCATCATGGTGATAAGCAATATTCACTCTGATGCATAGACCATGATGCATTTGATTAATCAAATCTCCGTTCATACATCAGAACTATAATTAAGGTGATAAAACAAAGTAGAGAACAATACAACATACACACTCATTGGAGGGGGGGAGGGCACACTTCAATAATAAAATACTCAAGACATGATGTGAAGGTAACACTTAGCTAAGACATGTTTAAAGTTTAATATTATATTCATTTCTAATGAGAAGAGAAATTAAAATAATTTAGAGTAAAATATGGATAAAAGGCCACTGTGGTTGTAAATGCATCTTGCACCAAATGATGCACATAAAATGATTCTTGTCAATCGTTGCTCCTTTCCATTAAGCCATGTGAGAGGTCAGAGAATCGGTTCCGTGTCATTCCAATTCACAAATGCATCTTTCCACCTGAAATAAATAAATAAAAGAAAGTTTAAAACAACTCAGCCAGGTACATACCTCATGGTTTCTAACAACCCTAATAAGCTGTCTTTTAATATGCAACTTTTAATTTTGAAGCCCACATTTTTGTTTCTTGTTAGTATCTCTGCAGACATAATGGTGCATGTGCATGTACTGTATGTCTGCACAGTTGAAATGCAAAAACATCTGTACCTTGTTCGAATACAGAGCTCCATTGGAGGAATGAGGTCAGTGTCGACAGTTTGAGAGCTTGGAACCCAATTACCGACAGCTAAAAACACAAACAGATGATTAACACATAAAGATTAAGCTTAACGGAAAAATGAAAATGTCTAAACTCAAACCATAAATCCTCATGACGGGACACAGATCATACTCATCACTATGAATACAGATCGCATCATAATGACAGAAATGACAACATAATGTAGATTTTTCTAATTGGTCTTTGACTGTAATGAAGGGTTGATCTGTAATGATCAAATCATAAAAAAATGGATGTGTTTACTGAGAAAGAGGGAGACGTGATGCTACATACAAACAGTAAGGCGGATCTCCTCGTGTTGATTGGCCAGGCCATCATAATAGTAGAGGTCAAACTCCAGGCCTTTGTCCTGGTAGGTCAACAGCTCCCTCTGGAGGCCAAACAGCACACTGAAGTGGCTTTCACTGCACACCACCCAGATGGGGTAAAGGGGAGTCTTGAGGTAAGCTCCCACCTTAGACAGAAGTAGAACACAGAGGGTTAAAGAAGTAAAGAAGTTGCAAACACAACCCCTTCAGCGTAACCGAGAGCAGCCTCCATCAGCATTATTTGATTTATCAAGTGTTGAAATGCGTTTAACACATTTTTTTTAAGATGATATTTTTGGTGTCTTTTACCTTTATTGGATAGTTTAGAGTGTTCTCAGATTTTATTCTAAGCCGAGAACAAATGACAGATAAAAAAACGTTGGTGGGGGGGGGGGGGGGGGTGCTGGTAGCCCGCGCGTCCCATGTATAAAAAGCCAAAAAATATATCTTTGGTAAACATCAGAATCTTCTTTAAAAATTGCGTTAATGGGTTTTTAAAAGGAATTTCTTTTTAAAGAACAGTAGGTGACTGAGGTGTACTTGACACTACCCTGTTTCTAGACACACTACTTCAGGGACCAATAGGATGCAGCTAAGCACCAAGTTCATTTGATCTTGCACCTTTTTTTTTATTACATCTGAATAAAAATGGGATCACTGAATAATATGACCTGCAACACATGAACAATGGGCGGAGGCAGTGTACACCTTTATCGTCAGAACCCCAAATGTTCAGAAAATGTATAAGATTTAATTTAAAAAAAAAGGGAAAATGTCAGAAAGTAAACTTGTTAGGGATGACAATGAGAACTAATGAGTTTAAAACCTGATTCTACTGTGATCAGATTTTTTTTTTTTCTGAGCACAACATGCACATCTACTGAACCAAGAGCTAGAATCTAGGCTCCATATGGGGGGGGGGCATGTAGAGATTGACTTAGTAGACATTGTTTATGGAAAACAATTTACCAAGATCTGAGGGAAATACATGTACCTAATTGAAACAGTAAGTTCTGACAGTTTGAGTTCTTACTGCTATAAAACAAATCAAAATTGCAAAACCTGCACTATTGGTTAAAACAACATCAGAGCAATTGTCAATCTAATTTAAAATCATGCCAAAAAAATGTTTACGTCAAACTGTTTGGAAAAGAGTCAAAAAGCAGAGAAAGCCTCCAGGAAATGACAAATGTACAATTTATTATCCTAAAAAGCATTAGAAATAGGAAACCTTGACCAGACACAACGATGATCTAGGATGACACAATAATAAAGAAGGAAAGGACGTCAGAAGTGTTACTCATACAGGCCAATGTGGTGCTGCATTAGCAGCAGTGTTAACCAATACATTCAAAGTTGTTGTTATGACGGATACAATCGACGCAGGTCTGTGTGTTTTTTTTCCAGAAAGACACCATTAGACGAAACAATAAATGTAATGGTTTATATGCTTAAAAGCAAAATGTGGAGCTCCTGTTTTTGACATTTGATACGATAAGGCAAGACATTTAGATTACGGATTCAAGTAAATTACAGTAATTTGATTTCCAAAGCAAAAAATAGATAAACTGTCTAAAGGATTCATAGTACATAGAGGAACCAGGCAAGCTTGATGCTGTCTCTCTCTCACACTGATTTAAAATATACACTGAAGTAGAAGCGGAAACAATAGGAATAAAAAAGAAGCCTGGAAAAAATGTTTGACTGAGTTACTGTCTCTCTACCCTAACTTGTAGAAAAAGTTTTAATGTGTCCAAAACACTTTGAAGTCAACATTTTTTGGAGAGATGATTGAGGAAACAGTTCAATAAAATGTTCAAACTGAGAATTTAACGCACCAACTGAGCAAATGTTAGTCAACAGCTGCAGCTCTCTCAATTCAAATGAGCATAATTGGTTATGGGGAATATACGTCTACATTGCCAAAGCAGAATTTAACATAAAACTCAAAATGAAGACAACAGAAGAATAACAAAAAATAATATATAAAAAAAAAACCAGAATCTATCTCTCTCACTCTCAAGAACAAATCAATGACGTCATTTTCATCAGATTGTGAAGCCCCTTGGGGCGCCGTTTAGATTTAGGGAGATATGAATAAAATCGGATCAGTCTGACACAACTTTATCAAGTTTTGTTTTTCTTGCTCTGCTGCACGGCAATTAGTCTGTAAGTTCATTAAGAGAAACCAAAAGAGAAATAAAGTCTTAGTTTGAGGTCACACGCTTTGCTGATGGAGATGATTTTAAAGAACACAATTGAGTAATGACGGCAGATACTGCTTTAAACATAATAAACCTGAAGGAAATCCTTGAGCCAGGTTGTTACAACACAACAGTGCAAAGGAGATTTACCAAAACATGTATATCAATAGGACAGTTCAAATGTCCTAATGATTTACATGCGTCCGTTTCTTCACTACAGCCGTTCCATTGATGAACCTCCTTTGTTGTGATACAGTGTAGCTCCTTGCTGCTTTTCAATATGAATTGAAAATAGAAATATGATAATTTAAATTACAGAGTAAGATAAGTAAGCAAAATAAATGAGTATGGATGCTTCACGCCAATTTTCAAACCTGCGTCTGAAATAATCACCACTGTTTCAAGCTGAGAATCACAGATGAGGATAAAATCTAGACACAATATCCCCCTTTCTTCACGAGATATGATGATGAATAATGTGTGTGTTTCCCCAGAGCGTTATCATGTCACAGTGAAGTCGACCGTATTGGTAAAAAATGTCACCATCTTTTTTCAAGTAAATACTTTTGTGGGACATCTGCAAATAAGTGTACTACATCCTAACTCATGGGGGGGGGCTATTTTGTGAAGTCACAGTGACCTTGACTTTTGACTACCAAATGTAACATCTGAGATGTAGCTGAATTCCCTCCTACCATTAACTGAACCTTTAAAATAATGGTATGGGTGTACTCTTTGACTACAGCAAGAGCCTGTTACTCCCCATTTATTTCACTCCTCCTTTGTGAACTACTTTAAAGAAACCTGCTCAGAATGTATTTGGCTAACAGCATTAAAGAACGACATCTTTCTATTAATTACAGTGAAAAATACTCACTGAGGTATTTTGTTTGCACTTGTTTATGACCATCATCTGATCGATCAGCAGCACAGACCAGACAGTGCGCGCGCATTGACACTCACCTTTAAGATGTTATAATGTTCAAACAAGGACAGCAGGCCGACATCACAGTGGTCTTTGATCCCCTTGAGTAGAGTCATGTTGCCGTTACCAGAGTCCAACTCCATGTCATTGTCAAAGACATTAGAAACGGCTCTGCCGCAGAGCAACAGGTTGACCAGCTCCTGGGGACCACAAATACAAAACGAGAAATCTTAGTATCCAGAATGATTGCAGAAATGCTTACAACAGTGACAGCAAGTACTGTTGAGATGTTCTTGCCTTCAAGATGGAATAAATCTTAAGCTTACTTTTTCTTGGACTAATATTTTTTGTTGTTGATTGGAAAGGTGAGTGTTCACTTATAGAGCTGACACTGGCTTAGTGGCAGCCCTTCATAAACACTACCTCAAACACTGACTTGAACACAAGTGGACTTAACCAATGCTATCCAGGCCAGTTTCTCTACCTTGATTATTTCTCCTGAGTTATGATACTGGCCAGAAACACATAAAAAGACAAAGTGCTCTGAACCATGTTATTCCCCAGTCTCCTCTGTCATATCAAACCTGTGTGCAGTAACCATGGGCCCCGATGAGTGTAGTGGTGGGCACGTCCATATCCTCCGTTACTCTGATGAAATAACAAAGAGGAGGAAGTGTTCTATCATTTAGCTTACAGTGGTCACTGGTCACTATATTGAATGTTTGCTTAGTTACAGAATTCAAAGAGGCAGCACATACTTTTCAATAGATCGAGTTAGAACAGCAGAAATGGTCAGCAGCAGGCATCCTAACTGCCCAGTCTCAAACTGTAGAAAACACAGATTAGAGTAAAAAGGTTTACTACAGTGTTTCCATCTGACAGGCAACCTAAGGCTGAGGACGTGCGATCCAGATTCTTACCTGCTCGATATGCTGCTCCAGGAGCAACTGCAGGTCCTTAGAGTTATCGACCGTGAAACAGGTTATCTAAAAGAAAAGATGTACACACACACACACACACAAGTATCAAAGCACACATAGTAACAAGACTAAAAGTTTTTAGTAGAGTACATTTCTGATCTGATGGTATCCACAATGCTATACCTGATTTATTCCCCTATTTATATTATTCTTTAACTATAACAAAGATGCTTTGCAGATATGGATACATATCTCCTGCAATAACAATTAAGATATGGTATAATAGAAAATGAACACATCAAAAATGGCTACCTAAAATACTGAAAATATTTAAAAGAATCTCCCAATCCATATGTAGCTTAATACAACTGTATTGCATTAAGTGGATTTGTGCTTTATCACTAAACTTTCAGCAGGTGTGTGCACAGTTGTTATGTATGTTTGAATATGTTTGAATATGTTATGTTTGAATGCCCCCCCGGGGACAAATAAAGTTTTTTGAATTGAACTGAATTGTATACCTTCTCAAGCACCCCTTCAGATTTGTATTGTCCACATGGAGTAAAATGGTTTCTTCCAGAATTTCTATTTTAAAACATGAAATAAAAAAAATTGCAGTTGTTAAAATCAATGCACCACCCAAACAGCAAATTTAACAGACATGCTGATACTTGTATGTAGATGATTAAGTGGAGAAAGGTTTGAATTACATCGCAAGTTTGGCTTGTTTTTCCTCACCGGCCCTCCACAGGATTTCGGCCACAGCTGAAATGAGACACTTTCTTCTGGTAGTGTTGGACGGTCTTAACTTCCTGAGAACAAAGTGGCATTTGAGAGAAAAGCAGGTCAGCCAGAATAATAATACAGTTCATATACAGCAAGCCTTTATGTGAATTAATGCCTGTAAAAAGCAACTTGTGGGTAAACAGATGTTGATAACCTACTGAAGATCTGCATCACTGCGTTTGATGTTTTCAAATAGCAGTTTCTTTAAAACAAAAGCTTGGACAGATGCCAGAACACCACATGGGCCACCCTAGAAAATAAATACACAGATTAAATAATCGTACAAATTACTAAGGCATGTGAAATCCATTCCACTGGCTTCATGAATTTCAGCAGGATGACACAGTTAAGACAACCTTTTTCTGCACAATTCCATATCTCAGGTCATGCGTTTCTGAGAATGTGAAACCCTGATTCCTCCACTCAACATTGAAACAATTTCGGCTGGATCCAAGAAGAACCACTTTTAATTCCTGGGGGGGAAAAGAAGAAGAAAAAAAAAAGAAGGAAAAAAGGGGGGTAACATTAAAGCAACCAGAGGAACTCTCCCCCGCATTTCTCAAGTAACAACCACATGAACTACAAACCATTGCAGTGTGCTGATCCATGGGGCAGGAGGAGGAGCTGTGCTCTGTGATGGCTCTTTGAAAGGACACTTTGGAGAGCTCTTGTGTATTGTCATCATCATCAACGTCATCTGGAATGATATACACAAACCATCAGCTTTACAAACACAAGACAACAAATAAAAAAAAACACCAACAGTTACCTCTTTTCTTTTTGCACAGCACTTACCTAAAACCATCTCAGGCACATCCAAATTAGCCACAGTTGTCCTGGGTAGAGACTTGACTCTAAGAGAGACATGTGTTAAACATAGCTTGGTAGGAGATCACTTCAGCGGTGATACATTTTAGAGACATTTTCTGCAAGCATCTTAAAGTGATTTACCTTCTAGCCATCTGTATTTCTTCCCCCAATTTTTCAAAGCTGTGTTCCCTCTGCAAACTCTCTGGCATACTTGGAAACTCTTGTTGCCCGAATACAGAGTCAGCTGGGCTGATTTCAGAGAGGCCCCCCTCTAAGCCTTTTTGATATAAGCCTTTCCCAGCAGCTCGATTTCTAAGATGATCGCTTTCTTCTCCTTTTCTCAGGATCAGCTTCGGCACTTCTTGCCCTCGATTCTTCCTTTTGTTGTTTAATTCCTTAAAAGAAAACAACAGTGTTTGAACAGGGATGATTACCACGAGTCATATAATTCAATTCTTCTATCCAAGAAGTACATCAAAAATGTAGCACCTGTGATGTGCTAGCTACTGGTCCAGCCATCATACCACGTCTGATTCGATTATTTCTGCTCCTCTGGGTGCTCTCGGCAGTGGAAGTCCTTTTTTCTGGCTCTCTTTTCATCATGCCCTCATTGTCCTGGGCGGAGGACAACAGTGGCTGGATTTGTTTGTCATCTGACTCGTAAGCCTGGAAACCCGTTGGAGAAGGACTTGACAGTACATCTGTCTCGGACAAAGAGGATGGATATATATCTTTTTGATCAGACCTGTGAGGGAGATAAGTCTTGATCAAATTAAGTAAGAAAGAAGTAAGAAGTAAGAAATTCCTACACAAAATGATGCATCAAGAAACTTCATTTATGAAACACCTTGATTAGATATGATGGCTTCACATCCTTACTTTGAGTCAGTCATCCCTGCTGGTGTCGCTGTCGTAGAATCATCAATCAAACAGACAGATTGAGGAGAGTGCAAGGGGTCACTTTCATTGCCGGTCCTTTTGTCATTCTTATGGCCATTGATGTGATACTTTACAATTATCTCCAATAATGTTTTCAAGGGGAAGCTCTCAACCTGCAATGACAGAGATATCTGCTTAGGTTACATACTTTTTTTAAACACTTCTCACCAACCAACCTCCTGATGTAGGTTTACCTTGTTCTTTCTATAGAGACCCTCCAAGTTGAGAATCTGCCTTAAGAGGGATCTGTTGTTGATGCTGGCCTCTGTTCGTGGATGCTCCTCGTCCATACAGGCAATGGTCCGCTTGAGTCCCTGCACAACAACACAGTGTCATGCACTGTTTACACATACCTGTCACACCCTGAGTCCAGGAGTCGTGATTTAACCACATTTCGACTCACCTTTCGATTCAGATATTCCCGCACAAGCGACGAAGAAACCTCCTCAATTGAAACGGCCATGAATACGGTGACGTGTGGCCTTCTCTACGTCAAGAAGTAGCTCAGTTCACGTTAGCCCAGTTTGGCGAACCATAACAAGGACGTGTGACCAAACAAGAGACAACTGTGCCCTAGTTTAGTTAGTTGTTCGGAGACCGTCCAGGTGTGTTGAAGAAAGGGATGTTGTTCAGCGTTCCCATGGCGATGATAGAAGCTCCTCTCTAGTACGGTAGTTGCGTGTTCTTCTTCTTCTCCTTCTTTGCTTAGGCAGAAAACGCATCACCGGCGTATTGCTGCCCTCTACTGTCCATTGTTAGTATTTATCATAGTTATTTATCATATTCTTAAATGTTCTTGTACTACGACGGAGGATTAGGGCCACGTTCATTTTAATTTTTTTTAATTGTTTTTTTAATTTCGAGATTAAACTCGTTAATTTACGAGAATAATCTCGTAAATTAACGAGTTCGAGACCAGCCTGCGCAAAATGATGTAGGTTAAGTAGAACTGAAAGTAGGCTATTTTCCTCTGCAGACAACTTCCTCCATGTCAGTGTGGTTGTTTCTTCGGAAAAGCCACAGTTTCTTTCAGTATCTTTTCAGGGTGCTGATATTTTATGACAATGTGATGATGATGATGTGCCAGAAGCATGTGTAGTTTCATATCTGCATAAGTAAAACCCCAACACAACTATTTGTGTCTGTTATCGGTCTGCCTTGTTAAAGTGTCTCATGTGCAGAGACAGTTTGTGTCCTGTTCATCATTTTACAGATAAACAAGGTCTTGCAAGTTGAAGTGAAAACTTCTCTTGAACTGTTTTTACCGACTACACAAGGAAGCAGCCTATTTCCTTATTAGTGAAACCTTTAGGACAAGATGCTGCATGTTTGTCATTTGAGAACAGGATGCTGCAGCTCTTCTGATATAGAGTAAAATAACCACTTTATTCTTTAATTCTTTAAAGACTTGTAAGAGTTCTACTTTCATCATTTTCGCGCAGGCTGGTCTCGAACTCCTTAATTTACGAGTTTATTCCATTCTCGTAAAATTACGACTTTAATCTCGAAATTTATTTGTTTTTGGTTTTTTTTTAACGTGGCCCTAATCCTCCGTCGTATTATACAGACCAGTGATGTGCAGATGTTCCCACCGTTTCTTCATCTTATTCCAGTTATCCAGATTTAACAAATGGCACAAAGTGAGCACACAATGCCCCAGTCTCAGCCTGGTTTTAATGACTGAATCTTTGCCATTGCAATAAAAAAAAAAAACTTTTTTGTCTTTCCAAATAAGACCTCCCTTTTCTTTCGTTTTCCCATCTGTTTCGCCACCTTTATTTTACTGACTTCTTTATGATCTATTCTTTCATAATTCCTTTAATAACTAAAGCAAAGAAGGCTATGAATACTCTCATCCTTACAAAAACAGTAATCAGCATGCTTTGAAACTGAATTGTTTTCATTTTCGGCTGGATTGTTCCCCTTTCTTGTACTGTAACTTCCTCATGTTTTTGTTTTCCCCTAGATCTCATTCTAATACTTTCCATCTCTTTCTTTATTTTAGGGCAGTCCTCTTTCCATTTCCTCTGGTCTTGATTCTTTGTCACAGGGAATTGTGTCCAAATTTCCAGCACTTTCAGCACTGCAGGGGCTTGGGCACAAAGTGAATCACATCCGTCTCTCTCACTATACATCAATACATAACTTCACATCTTAATTAATGCCATTTAAAAGTAAAATAGGCCCTATTTTCTGAGATCGATCACTAGTTCATTGGTCTTAAATGCAGATCATATGGACGGAAAATATACGTGGATGGCCGTTAATACCTGGACGGCCCTCCTAGGTGGGAACCACTTTGCATTACATATTCCCCCAGGCCACATTGTCTCAGGGCCACAACTTTGGTCTCTCATTATTATCTCATGGACATGAGTTATTTCTTGTTAATCCATGTCACTGATGGTATGGAGCTCAGCGTAAGTTCAGACAGGAAGACTGGTTATATTCTTTCACAAATTCATTCATCCTTCCACTTCAACCTAAACTACTTCCTCTGTCTACCTGCTCTGGTGACCAGCTGATAATGGGCATTTATTCTTTAAGTAATTAACCAACCAGATTCGGGCACAACCTCTCTCAACCAATCATCCTGCTGCGGCAAAATGCTATATCAGTTCTCTCTCTTCCACAGTCATTCTGTCATTTCAGGGCAACCACTGCAACCCACCACCGCCCCAGTCACCTCCATTCCAGCTCAGCAGAGTCCAGATTCAGGCTCATCATGGCCTCTATTCCTCTTCACCACCACCAGTGTCTAGACTCCGTAAGGGGGTATCCTATCCTGCTGTCGGCCTCATTACCCTTCCGAGTACATGAAGTCGTCACGATGGAGTCTAATCCCCCAAAGACTTTGCACATTCAAATCTAAATAGTTGCACATTTATTGTTAAATAAATAATTGTTCATTCTCAATTAAGTCTCTCCTGATTGAACTGTGTATAGAGTATTCATGTCACACCGTTGAAGTCGGAATATTACGACAAATCTCAGATTTTCTTTGATTTGGCCCTAATCCGTTTAAGCACTAAATGAGATCAGTCATAAGGTCAGTTTACTGGACATGGCCAAAAACACAAAGAAATAACAATGAAAAGATCTCCTCAGTTGATTTTCTACTGTAGATGTGGTAATTCAATCTATCACTTATACTCAGTTTGACTCTTTAAGGAGCAGTTCATCAGAGAGTAAAATGTTCAATAGAGAAATAAAAAAATACAAAAAGCAGTATTTGTAATTCAGGTATTCCTCAATGTACCAACAATGACACCACATCCTGTTTTTGTTCATTTTATTAAAACATCTTCATTAATAATATTTTCAGGCTACTCTATGTTTCTTTTTCATTATCAAACCATTAAACAGTGACCTACTGTCCAGGACAATCAAATCATGACATCTGTAATAATAATATAATGTATTAGATTAAAGTCTAAACAAAAAAGGGGGGGGTTGAAAATGAAAAAATAAATACAAGTGTTAATTTTCTCAGAACAGAAGCTGCAGTGTTAGAACAGTTATTAAGAACCTAAATTGTTTTATTGGAAATCAGAGTGTAAACATGATATCAAATGTTTCTGTTTCTGTGTCTCTGTCTCTCACTGCTGATTTCTAATAAAATAATGACAACCATGTTATCCTTTGACATGATTCCAGTCAACTATTGCAACACCATTAACTAATATGGCAGAGAGCACAATTAGCTATATTGTGAGTCATATTCATGCCCTTGTACAGCATAGGTTAAACACTAGTAATTATTTTAGAGGTTTATATTATTCACCTGTACTTTTATTCATTGAAAGTACAAGGACATTTGACGCCTTCCATTGCAGTGCCTCAAGCACAGTGTTTCTATGAATGGACCATAGAGTGTGATATTTACAACACAGTACTGTGAAACTTAACTTATCTTACTGTTAGGGCCTCAGAGTGAATATTCATTTTGAACAAGAACAGAATCATATCTGCTTTTGGCACAGGTATAACCCTACTCTAACAGGGAGTACAGCTTTACAATTGAGCAAAATGTAAAAAAAAAAAAAAAAAAACTTTTGTTTTTGTTGTGTAACCCTCCCTTAGGAATGCCAGACAAACTGCTATTTCTTCCCTCCGCTGTTTGACCATACCATGAGGGACAAGGTTTTACAAAAGGAGTGAGAGACAACAGGGAAAGTTTCCAGAACATGGAAGGGCATCAGTAGTCATAAGCTGCAAGAGAGAAACAGAAGAAGAAGAGTTACCCACAGCTGCATCTTCACGAGGAAGAGGAGCATGCAATCCACTTCACAGGTTCAGAGGTTGTAATCCAGATTGGAGGTATCATGCAGGCATGCAATCACACCAAGGTTGTCTTACTTTCTACTGTAAGGATGCAGGTACTTGCTGCTGTGCCTCTGCTGTTCACAGCTTTGCACATATACTCTCCCTCATCCTCTGGGAAGGTCTCTGGCAGGTAGAGGCAGTACGTCTCTCCTCTCTCTATATACTGATAGTCCTCACAGTCCTGGAGCATCTCTCCCTCAAACCACCAGGTCACCTCTGGCTTGGGCTCCCCAGTGATCTTAACAGTGAATCGCACTGGCTCCGAGTCCACCACCGATTGATTTTTAAGGGGCTTTTTAAACCATGGAGCCCCCGACCGGGCATGATCCTCCTCATCTTCATAGGCCGCAGAGCCATTGATAATGCTACCCTCGTCCTCCACATCATCATCTTTCTTCTGCAAACAGAGGACATGAATAAAATATGTATTAAAAAGCTTTAATGCAACATAGACCAAAGCTGTTATGCTCACATGCATGAGAACTAATGATGCTTGCATTGATTGTGAACATCGAACATTTACTTTTTGAAGGGCAGCATCGATCTCCTGCTGCTCAAACTGCATCCTCTGCAGCTTCTGCTCCTCTATTCTCCTCCTCTCCTCATCTTCTCTTGCTTTGGCCATTTGTTGAAATCGGGCTTTCATGTCCACCTTCTGTTTGAAGGGTGTCTCCTCAGCCCTCATTGCTGTCGTTTCCTGTTCCTCATTGTCCTGAAAATCACATTGACATTAACATATCCCTTCTTAAAAATAAGAAAAAGGAAATACAACCTTTCAGGTCATTCTTTAAAGAATAAAACTCGCAAGTTTTGCTTTTGTCATCTTGAATCTTGATTACTTGTCTTACCTCCTGGAACCGCTCAGATTCTCTCTCTTTGATTTCGTCATCCACTGCCTTCCGTCGTGCTCTCTCCATCTCAATCTTTTTCTGTATTTCCTCTTCAGTCAGCTGCTTAATCTTCTCAAATTTGGACTTGAGGTTCTTGGCCTGGATGGAGCCAGTTCTCTTGAGCTTGGTCAGCTCTTCATACTCTTTGTTAATAACATCTGAGCTTTCATTCACTTCATCCTGTGAAAGAAAGAAAGTTATGATTGTTATGCAAGTTCTGCATTCTTATGGTAGAGAAAGTTACGCACATGAGCATTACATCTGTTGTGGACTAACCTCGCCCATCTCTTGTCTCAGTTGTTCAAATTCCTGCTTCTCCTGCTCCCTTTTCATTTTACGTTCCTCTGCCTTGCGCTTTCTCTCAGCGTCCTCCTTCTCTTTCAGTAACTCTTCAAAGTTGATCTCCAGTTTTCGGGGGTGCAATGCTTCTTGAGATGGGCTCTTTACCATGCCTGCTTCCTCATCTAGTACCTATGCACAAAAGTAAACATAAATGCAGAAAGCTCTTTACTGTGTCTATTCAGTTTTTTCCTTCTAAGTCATTGCTAGCTTCAGTTTGTAATACAGGAAAGAAATGAAGACCTACCACTTACCTGGCATTAAATAATGTCTTAAAACCACTAAAATCTAAGCAAGAGCCATTCTTATTGTTTATTGCAAATAAAGACAACATGCAAGGAAAGAAAACATACATACATCATCGTCTGTGGTGCCTTTGTACTTAAAGAGAATCAATTCATTATAGGATACTGTTTCCTTTTATTTTTCTGTGATAAATAGACTTTTGAAAGTGAAATGTCTTACTGTTTCATCTCCATATGCAGACTTTTCCTGATCCAGGCCAGGGCTCTTAAAGAAATAATTTGGACAGGGGAACAGCAATGCATGTGTACCAATGGAGCCCATCAGAGTAATACATTGTACATGAACAAAATGTATTAGTCCTCGTGAAATTAGAATCCAGATTGAGAACATTTAGACTGGATCAGTGTGAAATGTTCAACTATTTGTTAGTTCAGCCTACACTGTTATGACTAAAATGTACTTATAAACCTTTAGGTTTTCTAAATGTTAAAATATACATGGCATGCACTGCTGTTTTTATGTGGACATTTTGTTAAAAAGCTGGTTTCTATATTCTTTTAGAGCCAAAGCTGAGCAGCTACAAAGCAGTAATTATGTCAAAGGCCAAAAAAGAGCATAATCTGACCCATAAATGATCTGCTAAAAAAAAGCAGAGAAAACCTTCCGGTCACTTTATCACTGTGACTTACCATGCTCTTGCGGGCCTCTGCAAATAGCCTCTTCTCCTCTTCCAGTCTCCTCTTTGCCTCTTCCTCAGCCTTTTTCTGCTCCTCCTCTCTTCTCTGGCGTTCCAAATCCTCAAAACTGGCACATATCTTCCCGGGTTCACTTCCCTCCAGGTTGAGTAAGGCCATCAGCACCTCATCATCCTCATCTACAAGCTGAGAAACAACACAGCATGGTAAGCAAACATTTCAAAGTGACGCTTAATTTTTTCTTAAGTATTAAGTAAGTATATGCCAGGGACCTCCACTTCAGTAAAAAAAATTTTAAAGAAATATTTTGATAGTCTTGGAAGGATGCAGTTAAACCTTCTGACTAGGAGCAAAAAAAAGATTAGCTTAGCTTAGTTTAGTTTAGCACAAATACTTGAAAAAAATGTAGGGAACAGTTTGCCAGATTCCATCCAGTGGTGAAAAGAACAACCCGCAAAGTTCACTTATTAAAACCATATCACGTAAAAATAACTATTTGATTTTTTCCTAGTAGCCAACAGAAAGCAGCTGCTTCCTTCAAATAAAACTTCTGGCACATAAATAACTCTTCTAAAATTGTTTTAAGTGTCATTTTTACACACTGGTGTTTGTATATAATTTTTTTAAAACTTGTTGTTTATCAAAATGTGAAGTTCAAATGACCATGTACGTGGATTTTGTTACATTTAGACTGAGTCAGGCAAGCAGTTTCCTTTTCTTATTTGTCTTCAGCTAAATGAAGCTAACCAGCTGCTAGCTGAAGCTTTTCCTTTATGTAAATATCTAATAGTTCTATCAATCTTCTGATTTAATTTCCCACATGAAAGCTTATTTTCTACATGTCTGAATATAATTCAAAGGACGCATAAGATCTACGATATATTAGTTGGATAAATTGAATTTTGTATAGGCAGAATATTAACCATGCTCTTCCTGGCCTCCGCAAAAGCTCGTCTCTCCTCCTCCATTCGTCTCTTGGTCTCCTCCTCTGCTTTCTTGCGTACTTCTTCTACCCTTTGCCGTTCTAGCTCTTCAAAGCTCAACCTCAGTCTTCCAGGTCGAAACTCCTCCTTGTCTTCTTGAGGTTCCTTAATGTCCTCATCTTCTCCCTTAGGGAAAGCAAACATATTAACAGCAGTGATTACATTTTAGCTGCGCAGTATGGAGTTGAATAGCTTTAAGTCAAATCCTAAGACTATATTGCTGCTACACAGTACTCAGTTAAAATAATCAATTCCTCCTCTTAAGTCGAAGACATTTACAACAGAAACTAAATCTTGATATTGCTGTCAGTCTCCAGATACAAAGGATTCTTTGGTCTTTGGTTTACCATTCCCAGCCTGGCCTCCTCAAAAGCTTTCTTCTCATCAAACAGACGGCGTTTGGCTTCCTCCTCAGCCTGCCTCTTTCTATGCTCCTGCCTTTCCTTCTCCAGCTCTTCAAATGTCAGCTTCAGCTTGCCAGGAGTCACCTGCATCTTCTCTGTCGGCCTCTCCTCTTCATCCTAAATATGAAGTGAGTGTGAGAATGCAGAGGAAATTGTTTAACTTGTAAGTGAGCAATAATGGCTGAAGAAAGCATAAAACAACATTTGATTTATCATGAGTGCTAACAGATATGAAAAGTTTAGCAGTACCTGTTCAACAACCGAGCTTCTCTTGGCATCCCTGAAGGAGCGTCTGTTTTCATCGTATCGTCTCTTCTTCTCCTCCTCTGCCTTCTTCTTCAGTCCCTCCTCTCTGTTCTTCTCCATGTCTTCAAAGTTCATCCTGATTCTGCCCGGGGGTCGTGATGACTTTGCTGGAACCACTCGTACCAGGATGGTGTCATCTCCTTCCTAAAATATAATCTATAATGTCAGAATCTCAGGGACTCAAAGTTACAGAGAATATTTATTACTTTAAAGTGTTAGAAAATATATATACATATATATATACATATATCTATACAGTAGTTGAGATCCAAGATTTGTCTGTGTTTCTTCATCTTTCTTTGTCATTTTACTATCTCAATTTCAGAAAGAAACGTTTTACCTTTTTTCTTCATTTCATATTTCTAAAAGATGGACCTAATCAAAGACGGGAAGTACAAATACTTTATTTTCTACCTTAGTATCCCTGTCTTTTGTCAGAGCTTTTCTTTACAGTAATATTAGACATGTCCTTCAGAGCTCTGGCTGGTTTTTACTTTTATACTGTGAGTGCATTTCAGAGCCTTTACATTTTCCCTTTGACTTCACTGAAGAAGTTAAAGAAGCATTCTGCTTTTACCGGAGCCTTGTTTACAGAATAAACTGTCCTTCTACCTGCCTGCAGACTGTGGATACTCTTGCTACCATTGAAAGTAATAGCAACCTGACAGATACAGATTTACCAGCCAAACAGTGTGTGGTTGAACCTTTCTCATGTTTCAGAGTTGTTAGCAGTTCTACATAAAGGACAACTTTGCAGATGGTGTCATTTAATAACTTGTCACAGCAGCGGCCAAAAGTCTTTTTGAGAAAATGTACAGAAATGTTTTTTTCTTTGGCGACATGCTTATTACAGTAATGCAAATTAATAACATTTTGAGCTAAGCTGTCTTTGTGTGTGGGTGGGTGTGTGTGTGGGTGTGTGTGTGTGTGTGTGTGTGTGTGTGTGTGTGTGTGTGTGTGTGTGTGTGTGTGTGTGTATGTGTGAGTGTAGATGGGGGGAACTCAATTGGCCCAATATTACCATTTGCGGTGGGTCAGAGTATGGTTGTCGAGCTGAGATAGCAGAGTCTAAATCAGTCACAGTAAGGAGGTCTGCAGCTAATTTAGTCACTGTGAGGTGTGGGAAACAGTTGCCAGTCATATGCTGTCTACACCTGGCAGCGCTGAACGCATGCTGTTCCAGTTGTTTCTAGAACAAGAGCAAGTATCACCAAAGACATGAGAGATTATTCCAGTTAAACTCCAAATTTAATACTAAACTAATAGTAATAAGCCTTAAATAGGGGATGACCTGCTACAAGTAATAGTAGCTATAGAGTTATTAAACATAATAAGCTTAATGTACATCACTGAAGATATTTTGTCTGAAGTCACGCTTTGTCAGAAAATAATGTCCCCTGACACTCAGCATTTTTCTCACTGCACTAGCATGGCTGCAGTTAGGATTGTAGAAGCGCGGAGGTCAATTGTTCATAGATTAATCCCACACTTGTTTAATTGTTCTTAAGCATCTGTTTCAAGCTAATTTCTCAAAAAAATTATTCTTTCTAATTTAAAGAGAGCGAGTGGCGAGCTGACTTATCTCACAAATAAACACTTTCTAATAGTCTTTTTAATTTGCATTATTAAATAACTATTCAAGGATGGTTGAAGGAAATAATAATACAATTACAGCCCCAGATATACAGCTTTATTGTTTTGTTTTCCTCAAGCTCCGTCCATGCTACAAGGAGCACAACTACTGATAAAAAATGCCTACGGTGAAATCAGTCTGAATATTTTAGTTTATAATAATTAAAGGCATTTCCTTCAAATTTTTTCTAAAACCCCAGATATGACATGCTTCAGCCAGTAGTAGTTGAAGACTTGAGCTTAGTTTTTATGAGAAAGACAAAGTTAAAACGACATTGCCTTCTGAAAAGAGAGTGTGGATCAAAAGATTTTTCTGTAAAGCATTTTTAACATATAGAGCTTGATTATAAGTTTGACTGACTTCCTGTACAAGAGAAGCATCAGCAAAGAAGTAGCAGGTAATTGCCTGTAATTGCCCTTCTGGCTAAAGACTACTTACATAACTATTCCCAAGAACTACACAGTCTATAAAAAAGTATGAAAGGCCTCGTATTTCATGTTGTTTTTGTACAGTTCTGTGCTTTGTATTGGACATATTCTGCAGATTTATAATTCATAACTTTACAAACTACAACAAATCTTGCAGAGCAAAATAAATATATGAGACCCCTTTACCATGAGTTCACACGCTGGCGATGTCAACATTCTGTTGGCTACAGACCTATATCCAGCTTCTGCCAACTGCTTGCATCTATTATACCACTTAAAATAACTTATCCGAGTGGCAGTTGAGGATTACCTGAATCATTACAGACACAAGTGCGCCATTCTTATCAGAAAGGCAGCACTAAAGCATCTAGACGAGCTGTCCCATTTCTCAGTGAGACATTGTGCAAGGCATCCACCACAGCTTTACTTACCTCAGCTGCTTTCTTGGCCAACTCTTTCTTAATTTTGGCTTTTTCCATATGGTCCTGGGCCTCCCTTTTCTTCCTCTCTCCTTCCATCCTCTTTCTTTCTTCCTCTTGTCTTTGTTTTTCCATTTCTGCAAACTTCCCCTTCACACTACCTGAGGATTTCACAGATTAAAACACAAGCCTTTAGCCTCCTCTTAACCCTGATCTCTAACTGAATTGATATCATTCCAACCCTTTGCTTATTTTCTGTGTGTCTTACCTGTGATTTTGGGGACGTAGGATTTTTCTACCTTTGTTGGCTTCTCCTCTTCCTCCTCATCGCTGGAAGCAAGCAGTTCTTTTATCTGTGGCGGATCAAACAGAGACTTGTGGTGAGGTTACGGTTTAGCTCGGATCATCTCTTTTGCCACTCAGGCACCATGCTGGTCCCAGCAAGAACATGGGCCTAATCCCTGTTAATAGCCAGGTCATGTGACCTGCAGGTTGGCTTCTGATTGGGCGATGGTATTGTTGCACAGCAAGGAGATGAGTGCAGGTGTCCAAGCCTGGCCAGCTATGGCACGACTGTACACAGGAAGGTTGTTGTGTCTTAGTATCAATGATAATCCACTCACAAAACACTGTATCACCGCATTTATTTCCCCACAGTCTATCTTGAACATAAACTGTCTTAACCTTAAAAACGTTTTCACTATCTATTTCTCCCCATGTTGCCTCCAAGTCACTAAAATATTTACTCTAAATTTTTTTACCTGTGTCTATTGGTCAATACAAAATTTAACAAACACTTTTTTGTATTGTGAGTCATTTTTTTTACATTAGAGCTGTGACTGATTATCATTTAAATAATGAGCTATCTCATTTAATCTTATCTTCAAATTTACAATATCATCAGAACAGAAACATATGTCTTGAAATGTCTAGTTTAACAGACTTAAAACAATCATCTCATTCGAATAGATGAAACCAGAAAAATCTTTGGTGTGATTACCTTGAAAGATTGCCCTTAAGGTTACTCCCTTGTCAACTTGTTGTCTATTAAATTAGCACTCCACTCTTGCACTCTGGTGACTACTCTACCCACAATGCAATTTACCCACTAACAGCCTTGAGCCACAAAAGGGTTTCTTAAACAAGTAGCATTCAGTGGTGTCCTCACAACCTGTAAAAAACTTATTTAAACAGCGCTAATTTACAAATATTTTATCGTGTAATTGTGATTAATGTGTCTGTTAATTAGATCAAACACCAAAAATAAAACGGCATAAAACTCAATCCAGTGAGTTAAAAAACATTTGGTACCACATCAGACTTTAAGAATTTTTGAGGAGCTAATTGGAGTATCAGAGGGGTTCAGTTGTTATGTGTTGTGCACACACAACCCTGTGTGGTGTGTATATAAGATAGTGAGTTCTCACTCAAACCTTGTTACCGGTCATGTTTCATCATGCCATGCAGGTCACAGTCGGGGGTTAGTTTGGTTATCAGTCTTTGAACCTGCTGCTTTCTGCGGTTATACTCCTTCTCCTTGATGTATTGTTCCTTCCTCTTCTGCTGCTCATCCTTGTTTCTCTGCCTGCTGCGCTCCTCCCTAGCTTTCTGCATGGCCACGAACTTGCCTGTCACATCCCCTTTTTCTGCATTCGTTTTGGGCACGTAGCTTCTGGCCACCATCTTTCTGGACCGCATGAGTTTCTGTTGTTTGAAAGTGAACGTGAAGATAACATTACAATATCGCATGGGAAAGGTTAAATGGTGTCAGTTAGGCGTAAACACCATATTGCCTTTTTCCCAAAATTCCTCCCTTACCTCTTTCTTAAGAGCCAGATCAGAAATATTCTGGTCTTCATTTGTGTCAGCTTGTGCGTCCTCCTTCTCATTGTCCTGTGCCACACCATTAACACCTTCTGAACTTTCATTTTGCTCATTGACTGAGTCGCTTTCTTTGTGATCCACTCCGTTCATGTGTGTTTTTTCGGTCTCCTCACTCACTTCGTCCTTAGTGTGGCAAGGTTTTTCATCTTCCACTTCTGACATCTTCTCGATGTCCTCCTCTGCTTCTTCAAAATCGTCCTCCTCCTCGTGTGTCAGATCGTCTTCTTTGTTTTCTGCGTCGCTCATGTTGAGTTCATTTTCGCTGGTGACATCGTCAATGTCTACAGCCGCAACCTGCGCCACCTCAGTCATGATTGCACCGCAATGACAAGTTGACAAACAGGCTCTGTTAAAATTCTACCTGCAAAGAAAAGAAGGAGTAAAAATGTTAGCACTCCTGTTGCTATATGCACAGAGGATTGATTGCTAATCTGCTCTGCACTTCACCAAAGCAAACTTGACCACATGACAGAAACACATTACTGAGTTAGCAGATGTGTTTGTTCTTAAATACAGTATTCGTGTTCTTTGCAAAATGCTACTGAGCTTTTAACTGACTGGCATGGCAGGAATTAAATATTTGGGGCTGTCACTTTGACTGTGTTTATTTATCACTGCTGGATATACGAAGTGCAAATACTGGCAGAAATGTGCCTGAAATTGTTAGCGTTCAGTACTTTAAATTGCTAATAATTTTAACAATGAAGTTGTAAGACAAGATTCAACTTTAGTACTAATTGTGTACATTTTATGGTGATCCATGTATCAATTGTTAAGTTCATAAACATGTTTAGTTTTCATGTTTAATATTAAAATTTTCCATTTTATCGTTTAACATCTAGCGACAAGATTACAGATATTTATCCGATGTATTTATCATTCTTTAATATGACTTTTTTTTTCTAATTATGGATTCATTTGTGTGACAGACCCCCCCTGACTACAAAGTTAAGACCAAAGGAAGCTGCTCCAGTATGTTGAGAAAGAGGGCCATGAACGCTTGCTGACCTCTATTTATAGCCCACTTGTGGGTCCAGGACATGTGATCATGGCTATTTTTGATGAGTGATAGGCAGTTGGACAGAGCTCTGGTTGGCACCCACATGTCGCCCCACAGACCCCTTGTCAAAATGGAGAGACTAAAGAGCTAGACTTTTTGGAATGTTAGTCATCGAACACAAGTTTCCTCAAATACCTTATACAGGTATTTAGATTCATGTGTGACACGATGTCAGGAGCAATTCAATGTGGAATAAATAGAAATGTGCCACCAGTTGATATATGTATTTTAGCGAAATCCACAGTCATTTTTACATTTCTAGTCAATCACCTCTTGCCTCTGATTTTCTTTTTCTTTTTTTTACTGGGGTTTCCATTGTCTTTTGGATTTCACACACATACACACAAAAAAAACAAGACAACTGAAAATGTAAATGCTGCTTATTCAAAAGATCATTTTAAATTCCCTAATCTCAGCAATCTCTAGCAATCAATGATTATTTGCATTAAGCCAATTCATAGCAGAGCAATAGGGACATTTATATGAGGTGACTCACAAATCAATCTGACAACTGTTGTTTTGGATCCTCACCTTCTATTTCCAAAGTTCAGCATGTGTACTGAAACTTACAAAATCTCAAATAAGGTCAAATTCTTGATGACAATGTCACACTTGATGAATGGACAACGAACTGGAAATCCTATGTAGGCTACCAGTTGTTGGTTTGGTTGTTGATGTAATCATAAGAGTATTTGTCAGAAGAGGTTGACAAACAATTTGATGCTTCATCTATCAATCTAAGTAATATGCCACAGCTTACTGGAATAACTGTTTGTTAGCTATTGTAAACCTCTTCCCATTTGTAGACATTAATTGTAAAGCCTATTCTATTATTCAAATGTAACTTTACTAGCTGATTTTTTATATCTAGAAGAAGTAGGCTAGTGTTAACAAAATTGTACTAACATAAGTAGCCTAACTTTAAATTAAACTCAGGTAGGTTGACCTTGTTGACAGACTTTTAAATGAGTTGACAGAATAATTGTTCTTACATTTTCAACAAAAAATAATAATTTTACCTCTAACGCACGGTGTTGTCCTCCCGTTGATAAATACAATTTCCTTTAGGTGAATATAAACCAGGAACACCGTTCAAGAAGCGACCACACGGTGAACAAACTCGACTGACTGCTGGTCGCTGTTTCTATAAAAGTAGCCCACCGTTACTTTCTACCGGATACTGCATTCTGCACGAGCCAGCCAGCCGCAGGTTCAGCTGTTGCCTCATGTGCGCGCTCACGCACACACGCACACACACACATGCACACACACACACACACGCACGCACACTTGCCTGTACCCACCGCAGCTCATCCTCTTGCAGCCACAGCTGCGTAAATACTGCTTATATTGTCTAAGAACTGACCTGATACAATCGTTGTTGTTGTTTGTCTTGAATAATTGTAAGGTAAGGGACTAATGAAGTTATAACGACCTGAATTAGAATTTCACAATGTTTGTATGTTTTCATGTTACTGAGCCTCAACAAAAGGTAATTTTCTGTCACTATGTGATAGACAATAAAGTTTTTTGAATCTTGAATCAAGCTCTGATATTTTAATAGCAAGGCACTCATAATGCAAAGTTTAGAAGTGTCACTCCCTTGTAAATAAAAGTGTATGACTGTAGCATCAGTTACTTTACATGACTGTAATACTTCTTTACGTATTCATGTGAAATTCCAATCTTTCATTTAAAATTTGTTTAGTTGAGGTGAATGTATTTGGCAGTAGCTTTGGGCAAAGATAAGTGTTTTTAAAAAAGCCGACATATTAAAATGTACAAGATGCTCTCTTTGAATTATTTATCCTCGGTGCCATTTGTTTCCAAACCTACAATTTTTACATTAAGATCCTGGCAACATAATTATCCATTATCTTAAACCTTTATATGCCAGAAAATGCCTATCAACAAAAGAAGCACTGTGTTGTCTGAAACAAGAGGACACTCTTTTCATCAGGTGTGTTTGGAAGGTCTATGTCTAAATGCAGACAGACACCATCATTATCTGCCTGTTGACCTGTTAGAGCCAAGATTCCCAGCTTATCCGTTTTGCTCCGGCCTATCCTGGATGCTTCTGTCATTTGGCTGTGTCATTGTGGTTGTAACACACTCACAGATTCCCCAGAAATGAAGGTCGCTTTTACTAAGAACCCCTTAACTTAACTTAACCCCCTTACTTTCCCCCTTAATTTCTATATGTTACATTATTTGGAAAATATACACTTTAGTATTAAGATGAGTCAGAAATGCTCGCACTATCTGTGGATGTAAATAGAAACCCTGCAGCAGACACATTTTGTCTACAAGAATGGCTCTAAGCACAGCTGCTGACTCATGGCCCAAACAGGCCTCAGGCAGAAAACCCACCAAGCAAAATCCCCTTTCAAGTATTTAAGGAATGTTAGATATTGTGGGGAGATGGCACACAAACCTTTTTTGTTGTTGCCTAATGATCATAGTATTTGTAATATACTGGACACAATGTTTGGCACATTGTTCGCCTCCTATTATGAAACCTCAACACAGGTTACAGGTAAATGTCAGGGCAAACTAAATGTTACATAACTGCAGCACGTACTTGTCCAGTTGGAGTTTTCGAGGTTATGGGATTCCCCAAACAAGACGGCAAAAGCTCAGGCTAATACTGTACTGAGTAATGAAACCTGAGAGCAGGAGTGTCATTGGAAGAGAAGAGATTGAAACAGTTGGGGCTGTACTTGATGAAATATCATAGAGATGAATAGAAGGTCTTTGTTAACAAATAAATACGAAAATGTTTAAATGTAAAGAGCGGCTGTATATTAACCTGGTATATAGACTGTCAGTGAGTGTAATTAAAGAGAGTATATCCAGGGACGCTGGCATGGCATGTTGTTCTACCTACAGAACGTCAGAGGGCTTTTTTCCATTCCTAAGATTTATTGACTTCCTGCTCAGATTTAAGCATTTGTTGGAGGGAGGTCTGTTCTGTGAACTCTCAGGGCAAAGGGGCTCCGTCCGCCTCTGTTTTAAGTCCTGCAGGGCATCAGGGACAACAAGGGGACTGCTAAAAATAGCACCACAGTTGTGGAAACTTGTCAACACTGTAAGGACAGCTAACAGCTAACTTGAGTCAGACTGGGCCTTAAAGCTGCAGCTGCTGCAGCTCAGCCCTGAACCCCAGCCCCCCCCCCCCCCCCCTTTTAAATGTTTCTGTGATGGTACAGTCCACGTCCCCCTGATGAAGCTGCAGTGGACTGTCTCTGCAGGTCAAAACTAAACAAAGTTCTGGTGGATGGATACACCTATGCCAACTGGCCACACCTCTATAGAAAAAGGTTCCATTCGTTATTCGATCAAGACACTAATAACACTGCACAAGATTAATTGTCAATTAATCTGAGATGATGAACAGCCGTGCACCCACTTTGATAAAAAATACTACTGATATCATATTTATATAGGTCACCTGTATATTATAAACATATATCGTTCGTCCTCAAAACATTCATACCTTTAGTCTAAGTCTGAGTATTCCAAACCTTTCCAAGATCTGGTTATCTCAGAATATTGGTTGAGTTTATTTATGAGTTTATATATTGAATCAATTTTTGATTGTATAACTGAGTGGAGATCAGTGCTACGAACTGCTGCATTCGGTAAATAAGAGGAGATGGGAGGAGGGGAGGTGGTGTACTGAGGTACAGTGGAGGTATGGCCACAGAAAAGTTTTGTTTTGTTAAGGGGGAATGTAGACCACAACCTGCTTAAAAAAATAAAGAAATGCTGAATGGTCACATCAAACAACAAGTCAGTTACATTCAGGGATATAAATCTCCACAATAGTTTGTGAATCGATTTCATCTGCTTTGGTGCAAATAAAAGCGACAACAGGTGCAATGGAGGCAAAAGCAAGACAACCCCCAAAAAGGGAATGGTTTTGCATGTGGTGGCCACAAACACTTGCTCTCTCCTTATCCTTCGTGACTGATTCTTCCAGTTCTATGTTCTGCCAGTGTCCTTGTCAATACTGGTAGCATGAGCAGGTTGCACAGGTAGCCTAGTCCAGCTCCTCCAGGATGGCACATCCATACATGCAGTGGCAAGGAGGTTTGCTGTGTCTCCAAACACAGACTCAAGAGCACAGAGAAGATACGAGGAAACCAGCAGTTACTCTAGAAGAGAGCTGCAGGGCTACAGAAGGGCATCAACCCAGCAGCAGGACTGGTATCTGCTCCTTTGTGCAAGGAGGAACAGGAGGAGCACTGTCAAAGCGCTACAAAATGACCTTCAGCAGGCTGCAGGTGTGTATGTTTCTGAAGAAACTGTCAGAAACAGACTCCATGAGGGTATAGGGCACATCCTCTAGTGGCACCTGTGTCCACAGCCCAGCAACATGCAGCTTGATTGGCAGGTTTGCCATTGGCACCCTTTACTCTACACAGATGAGAGCAACACACACTGAGAACATGTGAAAAATGTGAAAGAGTCTGTAGACGCCATGGTGAACATTAAGATTCAACATCGATCCAGCATGACAGGTTAGCTGTCAGTTGCCAGTGATGGCGGGAGGCATATCCTTGGAGGGTCCCTCAAACCTCCGTGTCATAGCCAATGGTACATTGACTACTCTTAGGTAGTAAAGTGGGCTCTGGGTTCCTCCTGGTGCAGGACATTGCCTGGCCTCATGTGGCCAGAGTGTGTATTCAGTTCTTGGATGATGAGACTTGATGCCATTGGCTGGCCCTCTACATTCCTCTGACCTCCATCCAATTGAACAGCTGCTAAGACCCTCACCCACGGATTCTTCACTTCCAGACTAGACTACTGCAACAGTCTCATCTACAATGCATCATCCAAAACTCCGCTGCTCGTCTTCTCACTCACTCCAGCACCCGTGATCACATCACCACCTGTCCTTCATAACCTCACTGGCTCCCCATCCCATTGCGTATCCACTTCAAACTCCTCATCCTCACCTAAAAAACCCTGCATATCCTGGCTCCCCCTTACCTGTCTGAGCTACTCACCTGGCACACTCCAACCCGCACCCTGCAGTACGAACCATCGGCCCTGGGGGGACAGGGCCTTCTCCATTGCCGCTCCCACCCTCTGGAACTCACTCCCAAAAAAACATTAGACACTCCCCCACACTCACATCCTTCAAGATATCCCTAAAAACTCACCTGTTCAACATTGGCTACAACCACTAACAATCTCAACTCTCTTCCTCCTTCTTTTAGATTATTTCTTCGTTGTATTGTTTTCGTCATTTTGTTTTTGTTGTTATTCTTTGTTAAGCGTCTTTGAGTTGTGCTGTGATCTACACATGAACAGTCTGAAAATTCCTTGCTACCACTTTGCAGTAATCCAAAACCCTTTCCCTGTGTCAGTTAACAGCCTCTAGCATAAACAGACATCTGCAATACTGACCTCCTTACAACCCTTCAGACTTCTGATGGTGGTATTGTCCATTACTGACCATTTTATCTAAGAACCAACTGCTGCATTATCAAAAATTCCTATTTAACTGTGCTCCAGCAAACAGTTCTGGCTTCATGTGATACAAAACATTACTTTAGAGATGTTATGTTATTATATTATTATGCTTTACTTCCACAACAGTTATACACATTAAACTATAATGTTGATCTTCCCCTGGAGAAGACCATTTGTGTCCCTTCCTGTGATTGTCACTTAAGGTTAAGCGTTTCTGCAGAATTATTGGACTTTCTCACTGCCCCCTAGTGGAAAACACAGAGAAATACCACTGACACAAATCTTAACTTTGCTCTTACAGTATGGTATGTGACTATAAAACATCTGAAATCGGTGACTAAGGACACCCCTAATCAGTTAAAAAAAAAAAAAGCTACACTTAACTTGACTAATGTTTTAAATAAAATGCTGTTCATCAACTGAAGATGACTTTAATACAACTTAATGATGAACGTATCTTCTAAAGATAATATAGGTAAAATATCTTTTGTCATACTTCGGTGGTTTTCTTTCTACATTAATACACATACTTAGCCTATATTGCGATAAGGTCACTTGAGACGTGCCAGACCCAATTTTCAATTAAATTATGTGACAGTATATTCTTGCAAACTGCAGACTATCACCAGCATGTATTGATGGGGAAATATGTTAAATTAAGTTTGATAGTTTTTTGGGAAACTCAGAACTATTCACCAGTCTAATAACTTTTATTAGCTTACCAATGAAGTGTTTTTTTAAATGGCTATCATATGCTTAACTAAAGCCATGGCTCTCTTGAAAACATATTAGTAAGTAAGTTAAATACATCTGAGATTTATTTTTCAAGAGCAATATTGAGCTGTTGACAAAATGATTTTATTTTTTTAAACCGTCTTTATTGACAAATTTAACTTATACAAAAAAAGTTTAGACAAACTCTTAAGGATGGATGGAGGATACATACAGAACATGCAACAGCAAAATACACAGGAACAAGTTAATTCAAACATAAATCAAGACTAGGGGAGGATTATATATAAAAATAAATAAATAAAAATCAAACTTTTCCAAAAGAAAACATCAGGCAAATGTAAGCAGACAACAAACTGGAGCAAGGACAAAAACAAATCAACAAGGGCCAGAAATCAAAACAAGAATTTCAACAAGAAATTCTAGCAATCCTGCTAGATTTCTTTTTTTTTTTTTGCAGAGATAAGAAAAACAAATTGAAATCATTTATAAACCAGTCAAATTGGGGTTTTGCTGTTTCTCCACTTACTAAAGTGAATTTGATATTTACTCATGAGTAAAATAACATTTACCATGTCAGTAATTGAAGGGTTTAAATCATCCATAAAATAGAGAACACTATAAAGACAGGGAAGCGCGGCAAGCAGACATGCGCACAACAGACAGCGTCGAATCAGCCGATTTGAACAACTTCCTGGTTGGGAGGGAGAATCTGACATTATCGCGATAGACAGTCTGCTCAGCGGGCCTGACGCTGGAATGCGAAACTACAAGTTACTTAGCCAAAACAAACACTTGACAAACCTCGTCGCACAGTATAAGAAACACCGAGGCTCAGCTATGACCCGGGACTTGAGGGAGACTTAATTTATGGTGAGTTTTTTTGTTTTGTAAAGTCGTAAAGTGGCTACCTGACTTTAGCATGGTTAGCTCGCTAATCCATCAACACCCAGAGAGCATATGACAGCTGACCGAGCTAATGTTAGCGTTAGCAGAGTTAGCTGGCAGGCACCTGACGAATTGAGTTAATCTTATTTGAACAAAGTGACTTGTTCCGGTGGGATTTTTGATGCTATTTTAGTGGCGGCTAAACTACGGGGTAATCTTCTAGGGAATGTCAATGTTATTGTCTGTGCGTGGTCACACGTAACACCGGTGTGGTTGTTTTGTTTTAGTGATACACGGAGGAGGCCAATTGATGCTGAGAGCTAGCCTGCGAGCTAGCGACGGTATGTCGTCGTTGCTTGGTGCAACAGTATGGCTAAACAAACAACAACAGACTGACGGGCAGCTTACAAGAACCTCCGTGCACAGTGTGAAAGAACAACCTTGAATCTGGCTTGTTTTAACAGGTGTTCGCCTGTCATGTGGATATATTCTGCTGTGTTTTTGAAAGCTAAGGTTGACATGCCTCACAGAGACTGTTTTTTTTTTAATTGTTGCACTTGATGTAATTATTGCTGACACATTGGGGTGTGTGTGCGTGTGTGGCAGTCAAACATGCCAATCAGATCATTGGTCAGCATCTTGAGTTGTGTGATCTGTGTCGTCTTCAGGGGGGATGAGACGACGTCGGTTATTTCAGCGTTTGCAGTTTTGGGCTCGCTGAGTCTCTGTGTTGGCTTTAGGATGGCGCAGGGAGGCTCTCAGCTCGACTTTCACATCCTGCAGGATCTTAAGCAGCGTTTCCCAGAGATCCCAGAGGGGGTTGTGTCACAGTGCCTTCTACAGGTATTCACACACAAACACACACTTGTTCTTCCATATGCTCTGATGGTTGGACTCTGCAAATTATGAATGATTGATATTGGCCTGTGCAGAATGTATTTTCGATTTAAAGATATATTGCTTAGTTTGTAAAGCTAAATTACCAGCAGCACGTATTTTCCTCTTATAATGTATGCAAAGCAGAAAAGCAGCAAGAAGTGCTCTTAAACACTCCAGCTGCTTGACGCTGAATAACTCAAGACTGTTCTTGGTTTGCTGTCTCAGAACAACAATAACCTGGATCTCTGCTGCCACCTGCTGGCTCAGGAGAGTAACAGATACCTGTATGGAGAGTTCCATCACAGTCCAGAGGACGGGCGACGGAGTCGAAATCAAATGCTCCACATCAGTCTGGGCTACCCAGGCTCAGAAGCAAGCAAGGCAAATGGAGGAGGACGCTCCCTAGTGCACAGCACCAGTGATAGTCACATTGAACCCCAGCGACCCAGCTACCCTGAGCCACTGTCAGCCCCTGCTAACATAGCCCCCTCCCCTGGTTACAACCCTTTTTTCATGAACGATCAGAGCCGGTCGGCTAGCACTCCTACCCCTCCGCCCACAATGCAGGGCATGTCTCCAACATATTCCCCTGTCCCGCGTTACACAATGAACCCTATAACAGTCACACTTTCACAAAGTATACCCACTGTCCCACAAGCTCTGCAGATCCCCCCAGGGCACTATGCGAACAGCTCCAACACCCCCCTGTATATTAGACCTTCACCCTCCCAAAGCCCTCAGCCATCGCCTTGGTCGGCCTCAGGGGCGTCTGTGTATCAGCATCAGCAGTCCCCTTATAGTACTCCCACATATGGCTCCCCTTACAGCTCCCCCCAACATCAGGTCCAGCCGCAGTCCCAACCACAGCCCCAACCCCAGCACCAGCAATATGTCTTCCTACCTATTAGCTCCCCAACCATCCCTAGCATGCCCTACCATCACCAGCAACAACCCCAGCAACAGCCAGCAGTTTACAGGCCCTACAACAAGAACCCCCTCAAGAACCAGATAGAGATTACCCTGGAGGGTCCACGACCTCGCAGCAATTCACCTGTGCACAATCCCCACCCCCAAGGAGCACTTTACATGGCCACAAGCCCCTCACCCAGCTCTCCTTCAAGGGGTATCACTATGACTGGACCTACAGGCCCAGCATCATTCCACCCTGGGATGTACCTGCAGCATCAAGGCCCTGCAAGGCCTCGGCCTGCCTCCTCTCCTCAACCGGGCCAGTCAGCCTACACCTTCAAAATCAAAGTGTCCCCAGGAGGCCAGGCCCAGAGGCCCCCCAGCTCACCTCCTGTGGCTGAAGCGGAGTCTCTTCTCAACATAGTAGACCATGGGGAGCACAACGCTGCCCCTGCACCCATCCTGCCCATCTCAGCTCTACCAGGGAACATCGCAAGTCAGTTTCACCAAATGCCCCGACGTTCAAGCTCAGGCTCTGATGACTATGCGTACACACAAGGTAGGGCATTGAAGTTTATTTCTATCTTTTGCTTTTTATGTGTGCAATTTTAAGTGACCTTTAGTCTGAGAATAGTTGACTTTTTTATTGGAGACGTTGCACTTCGTGCTGGAGCTCATGGAACCACTGTTGACCAGAATGTAGGTGCTTAAAATAAAATAATCTGCTAATTATTTGATGTATCGGTGGAAAAGACATGTTTCTTATAGCCCAAATGAACTTTTAACTGACAAAATACATAAAAAAAACTATAAATATACAGTATTTCTAAAAGAAATTGAACATGAATTGAACTAAAGGGTTACACTATACATGAGAGTCTTAAATTCTAATATTTAATTGTTGTCAAAAATGTATTTGCAAAATTAGGATCTCACAATTACAGATTTTGAAAAAAATCGAGCTCCTCTTCCAGTTTTGTAGTGCTTATCTTTGTACTGGCCATAAATATAAAATGTTAATATTGCAATAGGAAACAGTTGTGACATGCCAACTTTGTTTAAACTCTGACAGAAATGTGTTTAAGTTATCTGTGTCAGTCATTTTGTGGTGTTAACCTGCATTTTGTTGTTATATTTTGTTATACTTTCTCGTATCTTCTCGCCTAGAATTAGTTCAGTTTGAATCAAACACAAGTCACTTGTGCCCTAATGAAAGGAAAAGCACTAAGTGAAAACACCCCTCATCCCAATTATGCCCTTTGCCCTACTGATAAGTTACATAACCTCCCTTATGGCCCTTAGTTGCCACCAGAAAAACCAAAACAGCGATCGATGCCACCTTCAACAGACCCTGGCTCCGTAGATGCAAGCTGCAGGTAGTGACAACCCTGATACTACCTACCTGAACACATGGCCCCCACAACTCAACCGTGTAGACTGATACGCATCACCAGGACATCACTGGGATTGTCAAGTGGGAACCTCCCTTCACCTGTGTTTCATCCAATTAGTCCCACGACCCCTTGGGAAGGCTGGACAGTGAGCTCCGGCATCCCAGAGCCACCCCCCTCCTACCCCCCATTGCTAGCTCTCACGGCTAACCATACCCATGTGCTAAACTTCTATATCTTACCTACCCTACCACATTGCCATCAGAGCCCAAATAGCATTGCCACCTTCAACAGACCCAGGCTCCGTAGATGCAACCTCCAGGTAGTGATAACACCGATACTACCTACCCTACCACAGGGCCCAAATTGGGCCTCATAAAGCTATATAGTTTGTCTATTTGTCTTCTTAAGCCTGTTTACTTCTATTGTGATTGTTAAGGTTAAAGTATTGTGTTAATCGTTGAAGTAATTTGGAGGCTAACTTACTGAAAGTTGGTCTTTGGTATCATGATTTGTCTGCACTGATTGCGTTTTTCTTTTTCTTCATATTACTTAAATATGAGTGCTTGTTTACTGTAGAAAGTAGCTAACAGACTCCTTATTTTGTTATTTGTTTGTTTGCTCCTCTCCAGCTCTCCTGCTCCACCAGCGTGCCAGGATGGAGCGTCTACTGAAAGAGTTGCTGCTGGAAAAGCAGAAACTAGAGCATCTGAAGTCGGATGTTAACAATATGGAATACGACGCCCTACAAAGACGCTTTAGACGAGTAAACTCCTCGAGTCTTATACCCAGAGTAAGAACCACACACTTAGTTGTTTTGCTGTTTACGTTGTCATGCTATTACAAATCTATTACATGTAAATGACATTATGGAATTCAATTTCACTTTGGATGAAATAATAATAAGAATGATGACTGAAGTGTTTTGAAATTAAAACAACCAAAAATAGTACAATAAAATACACACATCTTCAAATAATAGCACACAAAAAAAAGACTAAAACATAAATTAAACGTATATAACAATAAAACCTGGTACTCTTGAAGTACAACCAACCAAATCATTGAGAAAAGAAAATCAATGAACGTGAGTTTTAAGAAGTGATTTAAAAGAGGGCACTGCCTGTCTGAGATATTCAGGGAGGGCGTTCCACCGCCCGGGGGGTACGAACAGCAAAGGCTTTGGGACCAGTTGAGTTTTGGGAACTGCTAGTAGAGCCCTGCTGGAGGATCCCAGGCAGTGGTCAGGCTCATGGGGAGTTAGCAAATCACAGATGTAAGGTAGGGCCTGTCCTATTTAGTTTGAAAACAATAAGATCTTAAAATCTGTTAAAGAAAAGCAGGCATGTGGGCTTTTTAAAAGGCAGAAAACATTGCAATCTTAGACACAAAGTGCTACTAAAATTCAGCAATAATATGACAACACTATTTTTATCATAAAAGGGTGTGTTTATTACTTTCTTACTCGTAAGAAGAGGTTTTAAAGGAGGGAATATTTGGTTGCCTATATTCGTCTAATCTAACTGGGTTGTTGTGTTTGCACCGACTGCAGCCTGAGGAGATGACCCGTTTGCGGAGTCTGAACAGACAGCTTCAGATTGATATCGACTGTACCCTAAAGGAGACAGATCTTCTGCAATCAAGAGGTTTCAGACACACACACACACACACACACATCCACAATCATTAATGTACAGTCCAACGCATGAAACTTTGAAGTGCATGTCTGATATATTTGAAAGCATTGATCTTGAAAGAGCCAAGCCCAGAAGCAGATAGAGTTGAGTCCAGAGTGATGGACGATGCTCCTTCTCTCTGCATACAGATACAGTGTTCTAAAATAACCCGCTGGTCAGAGTTGACCCTCATTGGGTCCAGCATGGTGCTTTACTGGTACATGATCCTTGATGATTACGAAATGTATAACGGCATTGTCTCAAAATTTCTATTGTAGAAATAAGTTGTTATGGTTTATAATTTCATAAGAAGCTGTGTATTTTCTCAAGTGAAAGGGTATTAAGATCTTCCTTCTTCCTTCTTCCTTCTAACTTTTAACAATTTATAATCAATTTATCCAGTGCTGGTGAACTGAACACTTGAGCAGTTGTCTTCCCTTTGTTTGTTGTTGTCGTCATCTTCCATAATGCTCCTTTTCAGACAGACTGCTCAGTCAATGGATAATAAACTTCAGCATAAAAGAGCATTTGCAAAATAACTGGATTTGTTTGTCAGCTTCTGAATCTAAAAACTTTGCTGCAGTGCTTTTCAATCAGTACAAGAATCTTTAAAAAAATAATAATCGTTGTTGTTGAGAGTTTTTAAATGTTTGGATGTTGTTAAAGGTCCCTAAATTTTTTTTTTTACAATTGGCTCTTTTGACATCAGTTAACATGAATCAGTTATTTGTGTTAGATTATCTTTGTTTATCATTTGGGGAGTGCTTTCATACAGTCACAGAAGGTCATTGAGCTCAGGAATTTAGCTTCAGGAGGATTCCACACAGTAGAAGAAATAAGATAACAAGTCAACGTCTTGACTGTAAGCTGTAGCTTTTAAGCCTGTCAGCTTTTTTTTGCTAATGCTTGTAAAAAAATGATCGGCTGTCTCTAAGCAGACATCAACATCCGGTTAATCAAATTTTAAAGTTGGAGCTTGTAGAAAGCAAAGCGTGAGTTCATGCATCCTTGTCATTGATTTGGTTCATTTATCAAGCATATGTTATTGAACTAGCTGCCATTCAGTGTTGGTGAGATAACTGAATACAATCTAGGGTGATTCTTTTGGGTAACAGATATGTACATTTTCAGTCTTTTTGCATCATTTTTTTATAATATCGGTAGAATGTGTATCTCTGTTCTGAACCGGATTATGTTTTCTGACCCTAAATTTAAAGCGCGTTTTTACTATTTAGCCTGTTGACCCTGCTATCTTTTCTTCCCCTGGAGTCTGCTGCGCTGTAAGTGCCAGTCTGAACACTGCATCAGTAAAGAGGCTCAACGAGAATTGGAGGCTGGGAACTGATTGGCTCTGTCTGGAATGAGCACTTGTAAACAAACTGATGTATCTGGTTTCTGCTTTCCTCCACAGGGAAGTTCGACCCAAAAGCAATGAACAACTTTTATGACAACATTCAGCCCGGTCCTGTAGTGCCGCCTAAACCTGTGAGGAAAGGTGAGAATTGTTTGACTCAGTTTTCAGAAGTCTTGAAACATCTTCATGAGGTTGTGTTTATTAGAGGAGCAAAATAAATGTTGAACAGGTTAGAATTAGACTGAATTATTCTGTTGCTAGGATACAGTTTTGACTATCATTGCAGGACCACGCATGACGTTCTTGTGTTTCAAATACATGGGCCAGACGTGGCCATCGAACAGGCCGGGGGGGGTCTTGCACCGTGTAGTTCCTAGAGCATTGCACACAGAATATTTGTCAAATTTGCCTCTCAGCACATCAAAGTTTCCAAGACAAAGTGTATCTAACTTTAGTCTGTGTTGTGTTGTGTCTACACAAATCTGTTGGCATGGCAACTTGATGAAAAACCTTCCTTTTGCTTTTGACTATTACCATTTATACTGAATGGTTGATCCTTGAATGCATGTCTGTTGACTGACCGTCATGCTTAATTCTATCCCTGAGCTGATGACACTTGCTTTGTTGTTGTGCTTAGCACTTCATCACATGAATAAAGACTCTCTTGCGCTCTTGTTTTAAACTGCCTTTTTTATTGCTAGATGCAGAGCAGATCCCTAAACCAGTGCAGGGGCCTCAGAGGGACGAGGATTTTGAAGGCGCCCAGTGGAACTGTGAAAGCTGCACCTTCCTCAATCACCCCGCACTCAACCGCTGTGAACAATGCGAGATGCCACGCTACACCTGAGCTGTGTGCTGACCTGAATTGCCCTACCTTGTCCTGCCCCTGCCAATCCTTGGAGAGCATAAGCTCCACCCTTTCAAACATCTGCAGAATCTGTCTAGAGGTCTTCCCCTGTCAGTAAATATACAACACCTATATACCTGCTGAGGAAGAGCCACTATCCCTCTCTGCCCACTTGCCCTGCTTCCGTCTACTACTCCTGTGCACTTGGACTCTTCGTTGGTGGATGATGAAGTCTTTTGGGGACAGCTTGGACGCGTCTCTTAGCAAATGGATAAAATAGTGAGTGACACAGTGGAACTTGGCTTCGGGAAGGTCAAAGCGACTGAGGATTGATGAAGTGGAGCGTAAGTTTACCCGGAGATCATTCCACGCAGAATAAGTGACTGCCCTGTTTACACAACTGTGCCCATTCCTGAACTTAAAATAGAGGCACTTCCACTTTAATCCAGGATCTGTGACTCCCTCTCTGAGGGTGGAACTATGAAATCAATGATATATACGTTCTGACAAATGCGAAATGTAGACTGTACACTGTATCTGGCTCTGTATAAGAGCTCATTTCACTGAAAGAAGAACACTAAAGACACTTGCATATGAGTATATTCCTGGTACTGTTATGCAAAATACGCCACCCTGTATTATGTGTTCATGAGATGTTGATTTCCTGTGCAAATGCCTCATCTTGCTGTACTTAATAAAGGAGCTGATTCTATGTGACCTGACCACATGTGTGCCGAAGATCATAGATGCCTACCCCCCCCCCCCCCCACCCAAAAGAAATCATACACTCCTTTTATCAGAACATGTTTATTATATAACTATTCAAGCCAGTGGGAATCATAATAAACTCAGCAGCAAATGGAATAGGCATGCAAACACTCACTTTCTCTATTGTTACAAGAGGGAGTTGGAGAAGTTTCATCCTAAAAGTGACCATCCTAATGGAGAATTTAGAAGAGTTTTACCCACAGCAGGCTTTCTGCAAGTACAAGTCACATCATTCATGGCTTCTTTAAGGTTCAAAATGCTCAATTGTTTTTTTTAAGCTTGATCCAAGTAGTAATAATAACATTACTCATGCATAGTTCTTAGTTATGAACCTCATATTTTGTGCAGAGTTTTAGGTATGCTGACATTTTCAGTTGCAACTATGAGACAATCTGCTACAGTTTCTCCCTAAATGAAAATCTACTTTTGTATTCTTTTCTACTGAGAGCATTTCTGTTTCCTACAAATGGAGGAGATAAGGAGGCATCACATGGGGCAGTGTGTGAACACATGCTGGGTGGTATAATCATGCAGGCATGGGTGGACACTCATCAGCAGACACGGTCATTTGCCATCATCCCCCTCCCACTGGCCTTAGCATGAATATTACTTTATAATGCTGCACATACTTACAAATAATACAACATTTCTTTAATCATAATGACGGTATAATTGGGCTTATGCTGCATATTTACAATAGCAGTAGCAATAGTTTACGTGACAGATGCTGTGCTATTCATTAGCCAGCCCATGTTCTTCTCACCAGTATGATATTATTTAGACAGTGGATGTGGAATGTTTTTATTGTCTTAGGTTGTTTCTGTTAATCTCTGTGACCCTTAAAATAGAATCAAATAGGAATGGAGAAAAAACTCCACTAGCAACGACCTTTGGCTCATGAGACCAGCCCTCACTGATGTATTTCTCTAAACTGTAGGAAGAAGGCAAGGCCAAGTTCCAGATGTAATTCATCTCTGGGGAAAAGTATTATGTCGCATTTCCTCACTTTGTCATCCTCGGGATATCACTTCAATGGGATTTTTTTCCTCCCTGGATCCGTTACTGTCCTGATTGGGCCAAGTTGACATTGTTCTTTTGCTCTTTGCTCTGATTGGGTAATAGGTCCATCATTTTTTCCTGGTATGGGGTCAGTGAATCCATCTGTTCCCTCCAGATTTTCTGTCCAAATCGAAGACCTACTGGAGTTCCACTTAAAGGGAACGCAGACTCAACCGAATGGTGCCATTCGCTCTACAACGGTTCAGGATTCATTTTTGAAGACAAGTTTTTTTTTTGAAAAAGAGATCCAAAATCCAAATAAGTATGGCTCCTCTGTAAGTCAATAAATTCACAGTATCGAATGGTTCAAGTCCTGAATCTAACAGTGAGCTTTTGTTTATTCCTTTTTTTTTTTTAGTCTGTGGTTGTGCACTTTATATGGAACAGAAATGTCCCATTACTGGAAGGGCCCTGGGTGAAACAGACTTCCAATATCTCTTCTCTCCTCACATGTTTTAGTAGTAGTCTTCATAGTTCTTGGGGTTGAGGCAGTAAAGGATGGCGCCTCCAAAAGAGAAGATGGTGGACCCCCAGGCCAGGCCGTAGCCCCAGTTGAACTCGTGGTACACCCTCAGACTGACCGTCTCTATGAACTTGATGGGGAATAGAACCAAGCTGCACACCTGGAGCACCACTGCAGAGGAAAACAAGAATAGAAGAAGGTACTAATGTGAAAATCAGTCTGTTAAAATCAGACAGAAAGATTAAGTGTTACAACAGTGAGACAATGTTTTCATTACCAGTTATGCCGATACTAATACCTGTACCTATACTTGTCTATTGGCTGATGCTCAGTAGCCCTCAAAACTAGTTTTTTTTAATCAAATTATCCATAATATTGGAATTTGGAATAACTAAAACACTTATTGTTGACAGCACCACACTCTTATTTGTTTTTTTGTAATACAATTAGTTACCTGAACATTTTCCTTTAGGGTGTCAAAAAGTACATTGACTTGCATACTTATATTACATTTCTTATTTTTGGCGGTATCCAAGTCAAATACTAGTGCAGATACTATTATCGTCATCATAACTCAAATGAATAGACCTTTTTAGAAGCAGTCATTTCTTTGTGTTTTCGTGTTTTGATTCATCTCTGACTTGTTCTTTTGTCTCTTTACGTACCCGCAGAGAACAGCATGACAGCCACAGGCTTGTAGCAGCGACTCCTGGAGCTGAAGCAGAGGGAGATCAGCGCCACAAGGAAGGAGAACAGGGTGAGGGCCGCTCCACCCAACAGCAAGGCCAGTGTGGCGATCTGCCAGTCTGGGACACACACACACACACACACACACACACACACACACACACACACACACACACACAGAAGGATGGGGTGAGGGAGGAAAGGCATGAAATCACACTGAGATAGAGAGTGACATAGGTAGCTAAAACGGGGATACACTGGAGAGCCGTGTCTGAGCTGTTGACAGGAGAAGGAGGAGGAAGGTGGGTGGATGAAGAGGAGGGGGAAAAGTAAAAGAGTCAGGCAGCAGAACAGGTCACAGGCCATATTGGTCATGCTCAATCTCTAACAGGAGAAAAACATCCAACATTCCAACAACTTGAGATTGTGGGGAATTACCGCAGAGTAAACACGAAATACTTGTGGTTCAGGGGTTGAAACATTTCCTCGTGCATATTCTGAGAAGCCGGCCATGGCTTGTAATGTTTTGATGCCGGCCGTTAGGGACCAGTGGCAGGGGAAGAATTTGAACCATGCATTGACTAACCCGTCGGACAAAGCGCAGCAGTTTCTGGTTTACAAGAAACAAACAAACCAAACACAGGACTGGCCACATATGTGTGGATTTCAGCGCTTTATAAACAGACACCAGAGCAGCAGAAAGGCATTCTGTGAAGTGAGTCAGATAATGAGTATCCCTCTGTATTGCCTGATGCTAGCTCAGCGGCATTCTCAGCATTTCATCCAGAATAAGTTTAACAACACTTGAAATAATAATGTGTCTCAATCTCTGCTTCTCCTTCCCTGTCCTTGCTCCGTGAGAGTAAAGTAGAAAAAAAAAAAGATGTTTGTCAAGGAGAAGTTACTTAATTATTTTCATTCTGCAAAATTAAATCTAATTCATTTTTTTTTTTTTAAAGTCTGTTATTTTAATCACTCAATGTCATGAGACAATAAACAAAGACTTTTGAGACAAGTTATGTAACTGTTTGGAGTTTAAAGGTCTCTTTCATAGCCTTAGTGTGTGCTCACGGAAACAGGAGGTCTACATGTAAACAGGCAGAGGATATTATGATGAGGCATTAGATTACACAGGAGGAAATAATTTAAAGTGCAGCGGGTGAAAAAAAATTCACATCAAAACATTAAAGGGATTGAGCTCCAAATAAAATAAGGGTAGGAGGAGAACCTCAAACTGAAATAATTTAGAATAAACATGAGGTATTCTTTTTATTATTATACATGGCATTGTCTCTTATGGAGCCCAGGAAATAACAAAGATGAAGCAGTGCCAAGAATATGTTTCCCCTCTATTGAGGCAGAGAATCATTAAAACATTCTCCAGCGGAGAGACAGTGACAGAGGATAAGCTGCTTAAAATACAGTTCCCACCCTTGTTGGAGGGAAACTTTATTCCAGAGGCCAAGCAGCTCAAATATAAACAAACATCAACTAATTTTGACCAAATATGGGTCCAGGATTGAGAGTTTAAAAATGGGCCCTGTCACCACAGGATGTTGGAAGGAGCCCACAAAAAGCAGAGCACCAGCTCTCTTCAGCCTCCAGCTTGTACCCCCCCCCCCCCCCCCCCTCCAAAGACTGACCCCTTCACTTTCTCTGCCTCTCAAAAAAAGGGCCACAGCGACTTGACCTGCAGTTGTCAAAGCTCATCGTGGGGAAAGATATCCTCTCTCTAGGTCAGTTTCAGCCTGGGCAGTCTGCAAGCGAAAAGTCTTATCAGTCCTCCTGTGAAACTGCAGGATGGATTTCAGATTTGGAAGCGACTCACTGTGCAAGACATGCAGCCAGAGTCGGAGTGCTTAGAGGCTTTGACGAGTAGGAAGTGCCAAAGTATTAATCTGAGCCATGCATGATGACAGATGGAAAAGGAGATACAGTAGACAAGATCCAATCTGAGCATTAATTATGTGCACGACAGGGAGCGCCTAGGTGCTAAACGAAAAAAAAAAAATCCTTCTGGGCCCCCAAGTATGTTTCTTTGTCTGAGACAATGGAGGAAGATCTGTGTCACAGAAGAGCCTCTAGTGTGTCTCTGGCTGTCACACATACTTAGACTCACTCTCAGGATGGAGAAGTTTCAGAAGCAGGAAGTCAATCAGAGGTCCCTGGTTCAAGATGGCAGCAAGACACTCCAGCTTTACATGCTATTTGTAGTCATCAGTGTCACAGTCACAGGAATATACGGTTGTCAGAATGTTCCATACTTTGGTCCTTTACAATATCAGGTGTTTTCAAACAATACAATTTCTGCACTTAATGACCAATAGTGTTGGAAAGTACCGAAGCTTTCAAAAAATGTCAGATCTTTAGTCAATTATTGAACCAAAGTCTCTCTGAGAAGAAGAGAGATAAAGTCGTGTTGGCACATCCATATTCACAGACTGACAAATACTGATGTTTCTCAAGTCCTTTTAGAGTATCATACAGATGCAGAAGTTACAATTATGTCTCTTACAATCAGACAGAGAGCAGTGGAGGCAACAGCAGAGTTGACACTATCTAAATTGCACCAATATGTTGGCAACATCAAAATTGTAAACTATGTATTTGTGGTAATTATTTGTGATTTAAAACAAGAAATTACCCAATATTAGGTGCATAGGAGTACTTTTGTCTGATCACTAGAATCTTATCGAAGTATCATGACACCTAATACAGGATCACATTTTTTCACTACTATTATTCTTTGCCCCACAGTGTCTGAGTAAGCTCACACAGTGGCTCCACATTCGTCCCATTCATATTGCACCAACACCAACACGGGAACCACACACACTTCACTTGCAAGACCGCTCCACATTCCTGTCCCTGTGTCAGGTCTTCTTTTTTACTTGACCTTAGCCCCGTGCTTCATTGTGTGTGTGTGTGTGTGTGTGTGTGTGTGTGTACAATTTTTGTAGATTTTACACTTCATGAGCATGTAACTAAGACATATTTCTTTTTCTTTTTGTGGTTTTGTGGAAAAACACACACATACAGACCTAGCAGAACCAGCACAAAACATCTGAGCAGCCAGCTGGTGTTTCAAACTAACAGGATTTATTTAATGCCCAGAGCATGACACTGAGGAAATATTGGGGGGCTGACGAGAAGGGATGAAACTGATTACTGGGATTCGAATCAATAAGCCTAGCCAAGCACAAGCCTGAGGAAATGGGCAGTTTGCTGTGTGCATTAACTGTGGTATGCTGCTGAGAGAGGGGAGCTGACACGGAGACTGCATGTCTTTATATGGCACCAAAGTGCACTTTGTCTGCGCTGACAGAGAAAGACCTGGGCCAGCGTGACTTGCAGTTACTCATCCCGTAGACAGAAAGAAAACAGTTTGTCGGACTAACAAAAACACAATTCAGCACATAGGAGAAGGTCAGAGGCAGCAAAAAGTGAAGTGTAGATCTACTGTTTGTCTCAGCAAACACATGAAACGAAGAAAGGTGTAGTTGGGAGTGTACTGAAACTCATTTTACATTTTCAAAACTGAGACTGCCTATAGGCTGATAAAATCCTGCTGTGACAGATCTCTATTGTTGTTTCCCCCCTTCTGAACAGCTTTATCAAAAACTCAACTTCAAACAAGCTAATTTCTCAGGAAATAATATAACTTATATATATATAATATATAATATTACATTCTAAAGCTAAAATGTCTAAACAAATGCGTCCCTGAAATCATGACTGATCATGGTTATGTTGTTAAATAGATGTGTTTCTCAATCTTTTTTCTTTCACTAAATAAATTTGACTTATTTTAAAGATATGTTCTTGCTTATTTTGAGTACTAAAGTCTTTTAAAGTTTCTGGAAAGTAGTAGTGCTGCTGTTAACTTTATTTTATGGTATTTCAGTTGACTGTTTTGTATCAAAATCACCATTCCTGTATATGTAAACCTATATGGCATCAAATAAGTATTCTCTTTTACCTCACCAGTAAATGGCACGCTGTGATAGAAAAATGAAATACTTCCAGGATAGAAAAAAAACAACCTTCATGGGGACTCCAATAGGAAGCTTCCCTCCTAAAAAAAAAAAATCAGCATTTCTGGAGTGCTTCACTTGTCTCCCTGGTTACTAATCTGCAGGCATCTGGATCTCTGGGGAGTTCTCTGCTCTGAGTTGCCCTTGCTCCTTGGCTGGTGAAGAAACCACACAAAGGCTCATTTTGTGAGCAACAAAAGACCAAATGAAACCCCAGCTGGACCGCTCCTGGCAAAGCAGAATTCCCACATCATTCAGTGGTGGCAAATGTTTTTTAAAAAAACAAAGTTAGCCAGAAAACCAGAAAGAAAGGGTGTCTTACACAGCACACTTAGCCTCAAGGACAAACTTTTTTTTATATCAATAAAGTCAATTATCTCCCACTGTGAGAGCAGTATGTGCAGCACATTGTTCACAATCTTATTTCATGTGGAAAAGTTGTACAGTTTAAATTAACCAGGCAATAGCTAATTCTAAAGTAATTAACATTTAACACTCTCCTGGGTGATGTTGTATAATTGTCACCCACAGAACAGATTGGTTCAGCAGAGCTCTGTCTGCAGGGACTCTTTGTTATCCCCAATTTGAATATGGATATGGGTGTCTGTCTGCGCCCAAAAACTCTGACATGTAAAACCCACTACTTCAACATCCAACTGGATTAAAACTTCAAAAATAACATGGGGGTGCATCTCCCCATAAGCCCGAACAAGTGAGCGTGTTTACGGGCTCTTGAGCGTCTGTCTCACCGGTTGCAAGCGTGCTGTTGCAGGACCAGACAGCGGAGCTGGCGGGCTTCCAGCAGGACTCCCACATAGACAGGTAGTATTGGTCATCCGCCGTGACCCAAGCCGGGCTCAGCAGGGCCCCGACATCCAGGCACAGGGCGAGAAACACGCACACCAGTCCCACCAACTTCAGGGGAGTCAGCGTCGAGACCCGGGCTTCCTCTGTGCCGCTCACGGATGAAGCCATGTCTAAAGTATCTTACACATTTACAGAAATGATAAAGAAGAAGAAAATGTGTGTTTTTTGTGATGGAGTTCCTTAAATCCACTTAAAGATTCAGATGTCGGTGTTTTGGTAGTCCTCCCCCTGCCCGTGCTGGGTGAAGCGGATGGGGAGCCGCGCGCGCTGCTGCTGTAGATCAGCACTGTGCGGAGAGGCGCGAGCTGCTGCTCAGTGAAGTAACAACGAGCTGCACCTGCTGGGTCCTAGTGCCTAAGATCCCCTTTCACACAGCAGATCTGTCTCTCTCTCTCTCTCTCTGTCTCTCTCTCTCTCTCGCTGTCTCTCTCTCTCTCTCTCTGTCTCTCTCTCTCTCTCTGTCTCTCTCTCTCTCGCTGTCTCTCTCTCTCTCTCTCTGTGTCTCTCTCTCTCTCTCTCTCTGTCTCTCTGTCTCTCTATCTCTGTGTCTCTGTCTGTCTCTCTCTCTTTCTCTCTCTCTCTGTCTCTCTCTCTCTCTGTCTCTCTCTGTCTCTCTCTCTCTCTGTCTCTCTCTCTGTCTCTCTCTCTCTCTCTCTGTGTCTCTCTCTCTCTCTCTCTCTCTCTCTCTCTCTGTCTCTCTGTCTCTCTCTGTCTCTGTCTGTCTGTCTGTCTCTCTCTCTCGCACTCTCTCTCTCCCTCTCATAATTTTGACAGTCAAAATTATGAAATTATTATTATGAAAATGTCATAATATAAACTTTAAGAATAGGTAAAAAAAATCTTTTTCACGATGTAAAAAAGATGTAAAACAATCTCAAATACATTTACAGATGTCACATATTCAGAAATGATCAAATAAAATCTGTTATAAGACCATTCATTGACACTTTTTGCCTGATTTAACTTATATTTAATGTGGGCAAACACTAGGCTACTTGTTTTCTTTAAAATAAAATGTGACTTTCCTTTGCAGCACAATTCACCCTAATTATTTATCTCTCTATCTCTCCACTTTGTCTAACACTCCATTTTCTGTCCTTCCCTCTCTCTATCACTCTTTCTCTGACTCTCTCTCTCTCACACACACGCACACACATGCACACGCACACACGCACACACACACAGACAACACTGTGGAGGGCAGCTTACATTGCTCATTTTATTTCTAATTGAACTGAACTAATCCTTTGTCCTCAGGGAAGAATCTCAGAATTGGTTCATATTGATTAACTCTCACAAATGCACACACACGCATGCACGCACGCACACACACACACGCACGCACACACACACACACACGAGAGTTATTTTGGACAACAAGTTTTGGAAGAAATTTAGGTTCAGGGTTACATTTTTTTTTTTAAAAAGCAGTCTTTATTCTGTGTTAACCTATTTGTTAATTAGTTGAAGTTAAAGATGACTGACTGTTGGTGGATAATGATGATTCAGCAAAATAAAAACTTTGTATTACTTTTGTAAGTTTAGATTTTGATGAAAAATCTGCCTTATCCATCAAGTAAGTGTATATGTGTTGTGTGTGTATGTCAAGGTATAAAGGCATTCAAAAAAAGATTATTTATCCTTGGACATCAATAAAAAAAATAAAAACCTAAATAAAAACCTAAAAGTAGTTAAGAAAAATGTGAGGGCACCAGTATAGGCTACTATTACCAATGAACAACATTAAATTCATCTAATCCTGTTCTGATGGCCCTATGTGTTTCATCACTTCTGCCCCCTGCAGTCAGTCTTTAAAGGAATATCATTGTGGATTTCTAAATATTGCCACAATGTTATTTCATCCTATTGTTTATAAAATAATACAGAATGTACTCAAAGTTTAATCGTCAAATTTATTAGAAGCAATGGAAACATCTAGCCTAGTAAATAACATGACAAACAACTGAAGACAAAATTGGTTAACACACATGTGAGTTTGACCTCATTAAAAAAAAAAAAAACTTGATTTAATTTGAACAAAAAATATATAGGCCTATATATTGTGGACATATGAAAAACATTTATATCCAGAAAATGGACTGGAATTTTTTTACTTAAGAGTGCATTTGTATTCCGTGTTTACGAGATGTGTTGACATGTTATGTTGTATCAGTTTATAAGAAACTATTTATGTTATTTACTTTACTTCATACTTTATTTCAGACCCATAACCATATAATATATTTTAATTATTCTAAAGCACTAAAACTATTTAACAGGGTGATATGAAGTGTACTTTCCTCAAGTGTCTTTTCTTTTTTTTTTTAATAGTTGTATCAATAGCAATATCAGGTTGTAAATGTTACCAGGAATAATAGTTGAGGTCAGCGTTGAGCTGTCCCTTTAACTCCGGGGCAGTTCACGGTAAAGCTGTCAGCAAACACAGTTGTGCGCATGTGCAACGAGCATAGCAACAGTACGGGGCAGCGGAGAAGACGAGGGATTGCTTATGCGCATTTTTGCTACGAAAAGAGGTGAGCAGGAGTCACAAAGTTTATTTATATAATATACCAACACTAAAGTAAACGCCTGTAGTGTGAAACCGAGGTTTTTATTTTCACATCTGTCGCTCGTTAAATCACATCCGTTACTGACGGCGTATTGGTCCTACAAATCATCACCGACTGTCAATACATGGGGCGATGACCAGCGCCGACCCACCCGACACTAAATGCTCCCCCATGCGAACTAAAATGCACATTTTGCAGTCGCATTAGAGCTAACATCGCTTTGGCTTTCGGTCAATGTATATTCTTTGTTGTGAGCACGTACAACGGGGTGGTGACGCTTTAATTACCTATGATCTATTCTGGGAAGCTACTAGCAGGATTCCCGTAAAACATCCATGTGTAACAGTGGTCAGCAGCCGCCATTGGTCACTGTCACTTTGGTCAAAGGATGCTCCTAATTCACAACAAAACAGTGCCCTTTAATGCCCAGCTGTTTAACTGTATTAGGCTTTATTCGTTAGTTAAGTTGTGAAATTGATTTTATATTTTCTCCAGAGCATGTCAAAATATGTTTATTGTGGCTTTTTAACGTGAGGAAAGTAATATCCTTTCTTTTTTTTCTTTTTTTTTTTTTTTGCATTTGATTCATTGCTCTTGTAAATGTGTGACATTACCTTCTTTTCAGTCTCTCGTGACTTATTGGGACATTGCCACTGTGTAAGATTTAAGTAGGCCTAATCTTAAAATGACTGTTTATCCTATGAAAAAAAAACAACAAAGGAATATTTGTAGTTTTAAGTAAAGTCCTGCTTAATTATAGTCTGACTCATGTATCAGCATGTTCTAAATTGTATGTTAAATGTGTGTTTGCTCTTTATACAGACAAATCACCCCAAAACACACCTGCAGGAATCATGGGGAGTGGTAAGTTTATTTTGCAAGACGTTTTCTCATCTCTTACGCATCTCATCAGAAACTCTCCTCCAACTTCTTGTTATTTTTCTTTTTCTATTGTTCAGCATTGTTTGTCAAACACAAATTGGAATGTCACTCTTCAGGTTTTTCTGTCGTCTTTAGCACACAATTACCGTTCTTTCCTAAGGGAATTTCCTGTTTTCCAGTATTTATAAATATATTTCCTTTTCTTTTTTTTCTTTTTTTTCATTTCAAGCCTTGGGCTGATGCAATCTCTTACTATATGAGTCACACTAACAGCTTCAACTACTTGTTAATGTGTTTGCACATCAGACATTCCCAGGGCAAGCTGTGGCATCTTTTATGCAGTTTCTGTTGGAGAGTTTATGTTCGGGTGTGATAAACAGAGGGCCACTCTGTCTCTCTAAGTTCATTCCTCCAGTTTCTCTTATTGTGGCCCAGGGATGGATGCCTAAATCAAAGGACCTTTTGTTTTTATGCAGAAATGTGGGCTTTGGGCAGCGTTCAGCCTTTGTTTCAGTCCCCACCTCGCTGCCTCTCTTTTTTTTTCTGAACTCTATGCTTCTTTCCTTCATCTGCCTCTTCTCTCTTTCAGTACTCTCTCTTTGGTTCTCCCCCCACTTCGCTTCCTCCTCATGCTGTTCCGCTTGCTGACTCGCTCCTAGTTTCCTCTTTTTCCGCTCTCGTTTTCTTGTCTCTGCTTGTTATCCTGAGGCGTGCAGTTTCTTTTGTTGCACATTTCTAAATCTTACATCCTAACCTCTTCTTTGCACATGTTTCTGCCTCTTAGTGTTCCTGCCGGCGGACGCGGCCCACTCCGTGCTGCGACGGCTACGCAGGGCCAACTTCTTGCTAGAGGAGATGAAGCAGGGTAACATCCAGCGGGAATGTCGTGAGGAGATCTGCACCTATGAAGAGGCCCGCGAGGCCTTCGAGAATGACGAAAAGACGGTAAGGGGAGACGCATTACAACAGACCTTCAAGTCCTTCTGTCTGAGAAGCTAAAACACCTGTTGCACATTGAGTGTGGCTACATATGGCCACCCACATAGTACACATTAGTAGATGATCCTTTTTTAGCATTAGGGGTTTGATTTGCTTGCTAGTTGTAAGACAGTGAATGCATTCAGAGATTTCCCAGTTGGCCTGTGTCTTGTCAGCCAAAATACACCATAGCTCAATGACTTGTTCAAATTAAAAAGACATGCAAAAATAGAATCCTACACAGTGCAGTAAAAAATATTTTGCCTAAATCTTGTCATTAATTCTTATTTTGACTTGCTGGCTGGTTTGAAATCTGTGGACACTGGACAACCAGCTACAACTAAAACCCACAAATCATGATAACTACTACGAAGCAACTTGTACCAGTCAGTTTTTGTAAAAACAAATCAAACAAATCCCTTTAAAGTATAATTTAGCTGGGTTCATGTGTCCAGAAATCCTATGCCAAGAGTGGTAGCTTTTGGAATGTGTGTGTTTTTCCAGGAAGTGATGATTATCAGCAGGAAGAACAGCCGAGCACCTGCTAGAGAGAGGGAGGGGGGTATTTGGGAAACCATTGTGAGAGGCCAGAGGGCAAAGGCACAGTCATCTGTTCACTATTGCTCTGGTGTTGTTGCCTACTGCCTTTGTGTTGCAATAAGCCAGATGAAATGTACAGTAGACACTGAGTGTCCTGTGACCTAGTGTTTTGTAAACAATATTGTGGCACCATGTTGACACTGTGTCTAGCAGAAAATACTTTATTTTCATACCTTTATCCTGACAATGTGTGTCTGTCTTCTGATTGGCTGCAGAGACGATTCTGGGAGGAATATGTGAGGGAAAGTAGCCCATCTGGAGGGCTGGAGACAGTGGTGGGCGGAGTCAACTCCCTCTACTTGATCGTGCCATTGCTGCTGGTGGTGCTCATCATTGCCGCCGTTGCCATCACTGTGTGGCGCTGTCACTCGCGTAAGCGCTCACAGGGCAGCCCTAGCTTGGGACACTCGCATCAGGACCATGTCCTATCAGTGGTCTCCATGGACCATTGGGGGAGGGATTACCACCATGGTGACCAATCAGAACTCAGCGTCCACAGCAGCCCAGCTTATCCAGGCTCAGAGCTCACATCAGGAAGAGGAAGCGCTGGAGACCCTCCACCGTCTTACGAGGAGGCTGTAGGCCATGCAGACGTCCAAATAGAGACGGAGCCTCCTCCACAGTACGAGGATATAGTCAACACCAGCTCTTCTAGCGGCAGCGGAACCCACGGGAAGTAAACCCTTCCATCACTACCAACCCAACAAAAGCCCTAATCCACACTAAAAACATACTGCATTATCATCAAGCAGTGCCACTGCTGTTGTATCACCAGCCTTCCCCACTCAACAAACACTATTAACTGTGTGGTCAGTGGACTAATGCAATCTTTGCTGGAGCCAGCTCTGTTAAAATTTGCACTAACCTTTTATCAGTGAGGTGAAGTGACAGCAGGAAGGAGCAAATGATTATGCCATGCAAATACCAAGCAACACTTCTGCTGATTTCACTCTAGTTGCATCTATTGCTGTTACTCTGTAGCAAATCCTTGAACTCAGCAGGCATAACAAATGATGCATGTGGCATAAAGATGTTACCATAATGAAAGACAACTATTCTTTAAGTGTATATGGGGTTGGACTGATGCGTTATTGAAAGTGAGTGCCAATTCTTTAGACTTGAGTGATCAATAGCTGATAACTACTTTTAACACTAGATATGTAAATATAACCTAAATAAATATATAAATAAAAATAAAGGGAAACCCACCAAAATTCAGTTCCATCAAGCAGTTTTTGAAGTTACCAGGAATAAACTCAAACTCATTCTTTTTATGTCTCCTTGCCAACCTGTAAACAAACAGCCATTTACTCATCAGCAACAGCAGTAACCTCCTTAAGTTATGTGGTGCGTTCCATTTACCTGGAAACTTGGAAGTCAGAGCTAGGAATGACATCGCACTCGAGTTAACCCATTCCAGTTGGGAGTTGGTGACAAGTCGGGAAGCAGCATGGAGTACCTTTGTTTTGTTAGTTACAATACTAATGGTGTTTTTGATTTAACTACACAAAAAGAGGATTAAGTTAAAAGTAACACAATAGTTACTTCTTAAACATTACTGTTGATGCACGTAGCAGCCATGTTGGATTTTTTTTTTTTTTAAAGATTTATTTTTGGGCTTTTTGGGCCTTTAATGGAGAGATAGGACAGTGGCTAGAGTCAGAAATCAGGGAGAGAGAGTGGGGAATGACATGCGGGAAAGAAGCCACATTTGGATTTGAACCCGGGCTGCCCACTTGAGATGACAGCCTCCATACATGGGGCGCGCACACTAACCACTGCGCCACCATGTTGGATTTTTAAAACGGGCTACTGAAGGTTCTCTGAGTTTCCTTGTCAGAATTCTGAGTTCAGGACTTCGGGAAGGGGCCTCTTAATACCGTTTTAGTCGGGCAACTCAGAATTTCTGACTTCCTAGATCAAATGGAACACACCATTATTCCACTGTTTGCTACCAGTGGACTTCAGACCAATATTTTCTCCTTAGCTCTGTTTTTAAAGGGTTTACTGAGAAAAAGATATGGGTCTGTAGCTTCCTAGTAATGAAACTTCTTAACCTGAGGTTACGCAGCGTCAGGTAGATAAAATAACGTTATTGTGCATTGTTGTTAAAGACTGTGAATGGCTGCCCAGGATCTTCTCCTGTGAAGTTAGCTTTTAGAATCACCAACATAGTGGATGATAAAGCTACAGAACCCCAGCGGCCAACACTGTGTCAAGAGGCTAAAGTTGGGTTCCCAATGGGTAAGGAACTCAATGACCTAAATGTTTGAAAAGTTGCCAAACAAATGCATCAGTCCAACTTCAGAAAACACTTTGAAACGTTTTTTAACTCAAAATGTTTCAACATTAAGATATGGCCATTAGTTACGGGAGGTGCTGACATGTTTGTAATACTGTATGTGTGTATATTTTGTACTGCATGTGGCTTGGTCTGTTCACCTGAGGTTTATCTTCGAGCACTATTTCCTGACGGTCAGTGCTCCCTGACTTACATCCACCTCCGGGTTGCTCTGAGCCTGCTTTTACTGTGAAAATCTTTCCCTAACCTTTACTCCTACAGCAAATGTAACCGTGTTATGTGACTATGGATTCTCCTGCTGTGCCACTTTCAGTAATAGTACATAGAAGATTCTTCAAATAAGTCTGCAGCTATACCACAAAGGTATGCTGCACAGGAATGTGGGACAGAAAGCAATAGAGACTGAAGAATCTTGTGATAGGAGTCAACAGAGAGAAGAGATTGTGTATTTCACATCACTATGGACAGAGTTAAGCATGTGTAATGTACCTGTATAAAAATATTTAGTCTTTGTGTGAAAAGTAAGTTAGTGAGATTGTTTTTTACTGCATAGGAGTGCGGTGAACGAGTTGATGTGTGGAACTATTTGACAGTAGGTTGTGACTAAATGAAGGCACTTTTTGATGAAGCTCAAACTGTGCTGTTTGATGAAAACTAGGACAGGTTTGGTTTAACGTCGTCAACGTCACTCTCGGCCACGATGTCACTGTAATCCTCTCAAAAGTGCTCACACTTTATATGCAACATTGCTGCATACACTCAAAAAACCAAATATACCTGTCTTATGTCTGTGAATACTGATACATGTAACATTTCCTGTCTGCACCTCACAGACTCTGAGCACTGATGATTATCTTATATCTTTTTTTTGTGAGTTGACCTGTGAACCTCAGCACTTGCTATGACCACAACTGAGTTGTGCTGGTGGAGGTAGCCATTTTGGTTGGGTCAGTTCTTGTACTGTTACTTGCAGAGCTCTTTTTTTACAATGCCTTATAAAACAACAAATATGTTCTATAACATTAAATGCAAGGGAACTTGTTATAAATCCTTGATATGTGCAAAAGCTTGAATTAATTTGTAATAAAACATAAAAAAAATATGCTTCAAGTTTCCTCTACTTCATCACCCAGAGAGTATAAGCGGTCAGCTTGTGAGCTATAAAACTTTTTCACAGTTCTCCTTTACCTTGCAAGACTCTGTTTCACAAACACAGTGATCCATTGCTGAGCTCTCTTCAGACTACAAGTAAATGAAAAGATTCAGGTTAAATGACAGATTGATGGGTTAGAAAAATTGAAGTGCTTAAGTATGTGATTCAGACGAAAACAATTAACTATTTTTGTGGAAAAATAGGATCCCAGGTCATTGAAAAAAAAAAAAAACAGGTTAAAAATGTTGACTTTGTCATTTCAAATAGCATTGTCTTATAAGCGCTCCTCCTAACTCAATGTGCCACCTGGCCTGTGAGTCATATTCATCCCCTCAGTGGAACATGACCCAAAATACAAGTGTTGTTTGTTCTGCTGTTCAAACAAACCAGTGACTCATTTACCACAAAAGAATAATAAACACAAACGTAAATGTGGTTCAAGAGGGATCCATTAATTCTTATTCTTCAGCCGTGATTGTCAAAAAATAACTCATTGTAGTGAACAGATTAAATAAATCATTAAAACAAGATTTATTCAGATTCTTTTTAACAAGCATTGGCACACATACAAACATACAGAGCTCAGTTTGTCCCTATTTCTCTTTGAGTGCTTTGTAAGAGGAGAGAAGAGCTCTGCCTGCTTAAAGTAGAGTAGGGCTCAGAAAAAAACACACACTAGTGTTTTACATAAACACTTCTCTCAAGTGGGACTTCATGAAATGGGGGCGTCCTCAGAGCAGGTACAATAGTCACATTATTTGGTCGTGTCATAGTCTGACATGCGGTGTGCCATGACACAAAGCTCAGTCATTCAACTGAAAAACATAAATTCTTACTAGGAGCAGCAATGTGATCCCAGAGTATACAAGTGTCAACAAAACTGCTTTCACAAAATAAAAGGCAAACAGGAAAGAGAGAAAAGAAGTACCGGTATCGATTAAAGAACTCTTTAGACAAGTGCGATGCAAATTCACATTACACATTGTTCTGTTACCTGCTGCTGATATATATCATAACAGGTGTCACCATTATTAATAACAACACAGATGATTTCCTGGCTGTCCATACTGACATGTAAACCTGTTAACAGTGTGCTCACACCCATTCCTTGGGGTTTCGTAGCACCTTGAGCATGCCGGCCTCCCGGGTACCTTTGGCAGGCTCATGCATGTACTCCCACCTGAGGATGAAGGATGCGTTTGTTACCAGGCAACAAAGATAGCTGATTACTGTCACACAGTAGTAGAGGTGTAGCACTGCATCAGAGAGCTGTTTTGTTACCTGGCCGTGAGAGGGAGGGACATGAGGATGCTCTCAATTCTGGAGCCGGGTGTGGCCAAGCCGAACTTCACTCCCCTGTCGTACACCAGGTTAAACTCCACATACCTGAAACATAAATACACAAAGCCTACTGTACACAGCTAACTTTGTTTTCTATGATACAGAAGTGTATAGAAACCTAAAAAAAAACATACAAAAACATTTGGAGATCTTGGAGTGATGACGTAAACTGATAATTAATTAAACTGCAATACATAGTCATGATTTATTCTTATATTTATTCTCAGTTAATGTTGCAGATTGATTGAAGTCTTCCAGTCTGATGCATGCATGTGCTGAGGAGCTTCTCTGATAAAATCACATGATAATGATACAATGAACCTCTGTGGTGCAAATCAGAAACAATTCATATTATTGTTTGTGCATCTTTGCTAAGTGACTGAGTGTTTAATGTGCACTCCTGAGCTGAAAACCACACCTCATTAATGAGACTTATCCAGGGTTTATTCCAGCTTCTTCTTTTCCTCTTTTATCTCACTATCAGGCATCTTTCCATTCATAAAGTAGCTTTTAGCTCATTCTCCGTGTTGTCGTCTCTAAATCATACCCGCTGTCTAAGGAGCCTTTTTCATCATTTTTATAATGATTCTGCGTCTAATTTGAGGTGTCAATAACATTTTCAATTTGATTGAACACCTATTAAAGAAGTTAACACTTGGCTGCCTTTGTTTGTTCTTGACACATTTGACATATTTTTTTTTAAGCAGGAATGGTCCTTCACTCACCTTCCTCGTCGCACCTGCTGCCAGTCCTTCTCTTCGTCAGTGAAGGAGTCATTAAGGTGTTGGTATACAATGGGCAGGTAGCAGGGCACCACAGTGCGAGCGCAGCTCTTAACAAAGCTGAATGCCTCCTCTTGACTTGGAGAGTCCAAGTCGTCGAAGAAGATCCCTCCTATACCCCGAGTCTCTCCTCTGTGCTTGATGTAGAAGTACCTGTCACACCTACACACCAGAAGAGTTGGACAACATAGTCTTATGTCAGGTTATAGAGCACTTTTTAAAGACAGACAAGAGACCAACTTTAACAGGTATGTCAGATTCTCCCAAAAAGTAAAAATAAAACAACAAAATGCACAAGTGAATCCAAATACAATAGCCAATAAGAGTGAGCATTTCTTCCTTTAACCTTTTGATTCAAAAGAGTTAGACAGGTATAGTTGTCTTAATTGTTTAAATTGCATAGATATAACAAGGACAACTTAAGTTTATGTTCAACAATTTCTTTGTCTCAACTCAAGCAACCACATGTTTCAAATTTTCGCTCTTCTACCCTTTTCTATTTTTTTAAGAGATAGGGACACCTCCTTATTCACATAAATAATACAATCATTAATTTGAATACAATTAAACGACCTTTACTTTGATAGTTCTGTTTTTATCAAAATTGCAGCCCCCCCTTAGTTTAAAAAAACCCCATTTATTTAGAATGACATATGGGCAAAAAATAATCATGTAAAAGCATGTCTATAGTGACAGTTAACAAATGAAAATATCCTTTAGTTCCTTTACTATATAATATGAAGCTAAGGTCAGTACATAGTTAGCTAATCTTAGCTTAGCATAAAGACTGTAACTAGGTTTAGACTAGCACGTCTGCCCTAAGTCCCAGATATTCCTTTTAAATGTAACTCATACTTAACATACAAGCCTAATCATGTAAACCACACCCAATCACTCACATCCAGCATGGTCATTCAACAGCTAACGGCATGGCTCAACGGCCATTCTGTAACTGCAGATTTAAGGCAAAGGCTTTCCCTTATCACTTGTTTACAGTGAGGATACACCCATTGTAAGCCGCACACACACTAACACACAGAAATCAGACCCGCAGAATGCTTCCATGCTAATGTACTTATATACATTTGAATTAGTACAAACACATGTGGGTTTTTCACAATGGCAGGACTAATCTTGAGTTAAACGGTACCATTTCTTAAAGTCAGGGTAGTACTGCGAGTGGTGTTTGTCGCATGCCTCCTTCAGGGTGTTGTGAAAGTGAAAAGCATCTTCTTCATTAATGTAAATTGGCGTCAGGTCTGTGCCTCCGCCAAACCACCACTGCTTGGAGCCTTGAAGAGAGAGACAAGGGAGATCATTCATCCATGGACTCAATAGTGTCACTGACACCAAGACACAACTGCTCATGTCAAAGTCGCACACTCACCATCTTCCTCTTCGATCTCAAAGTATCTGTAGTTAAAGTGCACTGTGGGGATGTGGGGGTTCTTGGGGTGGATAACAGAGCTCACACCCATGGCACAGAACGGCAGCTTACCTGGGAATAAACACAGCAGGACATGCACTTTATCTATTAAACTTTACCTTGAATGTGGTTAACCACACCTCGCATCAAAAGCCTTGTTAGGGGCCTTACCATCTTTCCCTTTCAGGACCTTCCCTCTGCTCCTCATCTGCTTGGCGGCCTCCTCGGTCAGGTGTCCAAACACCACTGATACATTGACACCTGCCTTCTCAAACACCTTTCCATCTTGCATAACACAGCTGATTCCTCCTCCCCCTGTCAACAAATAAGATCACAAAATGGGCTCCTTTTTTTTGTCACTATATTTTAGTGATGCTCAACAATGGGCAGTTTAACCCCCTTCCTTACCTTCCTTCCTCTGCCACCGGTCCACCTTAAAGGTCCCACCATCCACCTCCTGAAGGGCTTTGCAGAACTCGGCCTGGGTCTGCATGATCAACATCTCCATCCTAGTACACATTTCCCCTTTCCTCTCCTGCAGTACAGCGACGTCGGACACCGGAGGAGACATGAATTCCCGGCATCTCTCCAAGATATCCCCCTCTTGCTCCCTCTCCACAGCGGCTGGTGATACTTTCGTTGCCATTTCGGCACGCTGGAAGTGGTCAGCGTTGGCCAAAACCCCCGCTACCACCGCTGCTGCAGTCACCGCTGCGGCCCCAGTGAGAGCCAGGGCCCCCCTTCTGGTTCTCCCGGCTGCGGTTCTCCCCGCGGTCCCATGGGACATGAACCGCAACCATCTCGTTCCCGGAAGCAAAGTAGGTGACGAATGCGACTCTCCTGCTCTAACAAGCTTCTTTAAAGGTGCTAATAAACATCGTCTCGCGGTAGTTTGAGTCGTTTTATTTACCGAACAAAAGACAATAGTGGCCATTTGCAGAGCAAGTACTCGCTATTTCCTCTGTGCTTCACGGCCTTTAATTGTTACAATGTACTTACTCAAAACATCAACAAGAAGTTGTACCTACGCGTTATCAGTGGTGCCGTTAAGAAGTTGCACGTTGAGGGGCGTGTCGTTCCTCGGAACGGACAGAGGCAAGACGGGAAATGTAGTTCTTTGTCATGCATGGGGCTATGAGCTCCCCTGCTTCGTTGAGGTTACTGCGAACGCCAAGACCCATCGTGCAGTGCGCCGAGAGAACATGCTGCGTTCAAGGATTCCTTCTTTACACCGTATTTTTGATTTTTACCCAGCAGCACCAGCGATAAACGGAATTGCTTATGATAGACTTCATGGATTAAATTGACTTTTTTATTTATTTATTAGGCCTATTTGTTCTTTTTTTCTTGCTTTTTTTTCTTTTTACATCGGCTATTTTATTTGTAAAACTTATCAGCATTTTATCTTTCTCTTCTCTGGACTTTAAAACCACAAACAAGTGACTGACTGACTGACTGGGCCTAGTTTATGTTTCTCGACCAGATGAAACTTTGGGCCAACAATGAGCATGCTTTGATAAATAATAGATTTTCTTTTATGAGCTTAGGGCTATAAAACAATTTTTATTTGTAGGTCTATATTGGCCTGTTCGTATTCCTATAACAATTGTGTTTAATATTTTTTTTTTTATCGTTTCCTCCTTTATTTCTTTAACATTTTTTAAACATTTCAACAACAAAAGTAACACGATCCAATTTTATTTTGTTTGACTTTTGACTTTTAATAGTCCCTTGACTATTATTGACAGGAGAACAATGGTTTGATATTTAATTCAGGTCAATTTCATTAATTAATATCATCTGGTAAAATGGCCATGCAGACAATACAATTAAGAAAATGATTGTACTTTTATACATTTAAGAATTTTAAAAGTTTGTTTCCCTTTCTGAAGCGTCCCTGTTTACCCTTATTTATTGTATTTTGATGGAGATTTGATCAGGCTACTTGGGAGCGAGTTTTGCTGCGCATGTTTCCGCTGTGCGCATGTGCAAAAAGTAAATCATGTTGTAGGTCACTATGGCGACGGGGCTATTAAACCTTTTAGGGCTGTAGAGGGACTAGACGCAGATTATGCGCACAAGTGTTGCTTCGCAGACTGTCAGGTACTGTGAGGGCCACTTAAATATTGTAATAGCCTCCAGATAAAGGGGTTGGATGTCTTATTCTAAAGCTTTGAACTCGACTGGAATTCTACGCAAGAACCTGTTGGTGGTGGTGAGTTTACAACAACTTTGCAATATTTTTTATGCAAATATGTACCAGAAGGAAGTTATTTTGCCTTACATTATTACTATATTTCCTATCCGAAATGTTTTCACCAGATCATCCTCTTAATTCTATCTATGTCGTTTTTTTTTACTGCTACCATATTTGTAAAATAAACAGAATTTGGCCTATGTTCTTTACAAAATCTTTCTTGTAACTTTTGAAATATATGTTGAGCCACAACAGAGCTGTTGCTACTTTATCACTACCCACTTGTCAGCAGACAGGGCAAATATGCTTGCAAAAAATAGAAAACTATTTTTTTTTTTAATGCTGTAGTACTGATTTCTAACCAGCAGATGTCAACAAATCTGTCACACAAATGCAGTGCAGTTTTTTAAATTCATGTTTACCTGAACATGGATTGAGGACATTTTTGAAAAGGTATCGAGTAGGACTCTTGGGTATTTTTTAGTATTTGGCCTCTTTGTATGTAGTGCAAACAAAAATTAGTTAGTGCAACAATAATCCATAAACTCTAAAAACTAAGATGTTCTTAAATCCACGACCCAAAAGCTAAAATAAATATGCATCTCAGGATATATATTTGTAATATCATTAGTGTGTTCCTGATTTGCCTGTCCAACTCCAAGAAGAAAATCATATACGACCAGCTTCCACCATGTCATGCGGTTGCAAGTTAGAAGTAATTAAATAAAATTTACATTCTAGTACAATTAACAACAAGGTGCGACCTTATTTGTATATAATTGTGTTCGCTTCAGAGTGTCTACTCTAATGTGAAATATGTCTTCATAGAAGGATTCTTTACACTTAAATTCAGAGAATAAACATTTTAAAGCCTGATAAAAAAAAAAATGTCAGAATTAAGAAACAGTTTATTTTTGCTATATCAGACGTTTTTAAGTCCTAAAATCACACATTTTTCACAGTTGTGTAGCTATGAATATATATGCTGCAATGCAGCGTATCATTATTACAATTAATCTGACAATCAGAGTCAAAGCATTATTGCCCTGCAGTGTCACAGGGACAGTCATTGTTACACCCACACACTGACAAAAAAAAGCTTTACCATGGAGCTAAACATTTGAGTTTTTACAAGGTTGATACAAGTGGACATGTGTGAGGCTGAGGGACATCAAAACCATTGGAATTTGTTCCCTGGAGATCATGAATATCCAAATTAGTAACCAATATAAAGACAATATATTGGCCTACTGGTAGCGCTGGATCTGGTACCTTATCATAAGCAATATCATACTCAGGGCTGACCGACTGATGTAGTTTCCTTTAGGCTCAGCTGCCTGTTTTTAAAAAGAATCATGTCTGACTGTTTTTCACTAACCCACTTCCAGTGAAGATTATGAGTGAGGTGGTTTGCACAAAGACCCAGGAGGAATATGAGGATGACTTTGAGAAGGATCTGGACTGGCTGATCAGTGAGGAAGCCCGGAGTGAGGACCAGGTACATTAGACCTCTCTGTTCAAACTGCAGTTTTTATTCACATCATTGGACACTCTGTGTGAAAATGTATTTTGAGTGATGCTGTACTTTCTACAAACTGGGTGCTGCCTGGTTGCTCGCACTGCTCTGTGAAAGTATGACTGTGAGTAGTGTTGAGTTATCTGAGCTGGCATGTCTCCCTGTTTGCATGTGAAACCTATTCTACAAGCCTACTCTACCTATTCTATGCTATCCACAGAGATTTACTTTCACTGTGCCTCTGCTGTATGCATTATTGATGAACACACTTACACACACGTCTGTTATCACACCTGCTATTACCTGCTGAGTATTAATGCTGCTCTTTCATTCACACTCAGACTTAATGAATACACCCCCCCCCCCAACAGGGTCCTGACTATGACGACATAGAAGCAGAAATCAACAGAGAACTAGAGGAGGATGAGAAACAGCAAGGGACGAAAAGAAAGAAGAAAATTTGCAAGGAGGAGAAGAAAGGAAACAAAACAGAGGAGGTGGAGGAAGATGAAGAGAGGTGGCCCTCACCTATGGAGCCGTTAGATTACGACTCAGACAGAGACAGCCCAACCAAGTCTTCACCTGTAGTCCCGCCTCCTCCCGGGATGGATGAGCAGACAGAAGAGGAGAAGAAGTATATACAAGAGAAGATCCAGCAGGCCAACCGGGAGCTACGAGACCAGGAAGCTCCAGATATGACGAGGCAAAGGCGGCTGCATTTCAAGGAGAAGCTGGTGGATCTGGTGGTGCCTCCGCTGCAGTTTGAGAAAGATGGTGGTGAGGTGGAAGGAGGTAAGAGCAGCAAGGATAAAAGTAACGATTGTGAGGCTGAGGCTGAGGTGTCGGGAAAGCTTTCCGAGCTCAAACTGTCCCCCCAAGAAGAAAGTGCACAATCTGGTGGATCTGGAGGAGGGCAGGTAGTGAGAGAGGGCAGAGTCCTTGTAGAAAAGGATGGAAAGTTTGACCTGGTCAGCCTAAAGGAGGTGGAGAGTCAAGGACTTCTCCCTCCAATATCAAACAGTGACTACTTCCTGTCACCTTCACAAACTGACAGCTCCAGAAAGATCCCAAGGTCCTCATCCTCCCCCCTCCAGTATGGCAGGGCTCACCCTCTTGCCCCCAGACCTCCAGCTCAGCCAAGGAACAGGCCTAGCTCAGCTTCCCACAGCCAGAGAGGAGCAGGAAGGAGGAACAGCAGCAGCAAGCGAAGAGTGCAGTCAGCCACCGGGACGCCCTGCCAGGCCACATACACCCTCTCCCCCCAGCAGAAGGAGCTGCTGCAGAGGATCCAGGAGAGGAACGAGAAGCTGGCCAGAGAGGTAAGAAAGCACGATGTTTCTGAATTCTCAATTAAATATACTGTGTTATTGTCTTAAATTGGTGTTTAAATGTTCATGTTCCCATTGTCAGACTGAACAGAGGAAGCTTGAGGAGGAGGAGCAAAAGAGGCAAGAGAACGAGCTGGCGTTTAAAGCCTGGATGTTGAGGAAGAGGGAGCAGCTTCAGGAGGAGAGACGGATCGTCAGAGCCAAGGAGATGGAGAGGATGAATACTAAGGTATTACCACAAGGGGGCACAACAACCTTACACAGCATCTATATACACAGTAGTGATTAAGGTTTATTATGCAGGTAATGACTGCAGTAAAATTATGCTCTTTAATATTTTGTTAAGTCATTCATAGTTTTATGTGACTAGTCACTTAAAATTCAGTTCTATGCACTAGTTTACCTTTACAAAAAAGTAGTTTTTTTTAATAGTCATAGAAAAGAACAATTTTTAAGTGATGATCACAAGTTAGACGATGGATAGATGGACGGACAGACAGACGTAGATAGATAGATGGATAAACTTTATGGTCTGTACCAGCAGTAACAGAAACTCTCCTTTGACAATGCTGTAACATTAAACATAAAGCTAACATTTAAAACACAAAGTAAAGGCATTAAAAAAGTGGACTATTATATGTAGGTCAGGGTGGTTATTGCAGAGGGACTGAATGCTTTTTTGTAAATGTTTTTTTTCCAGGCCAGAGGGACTTTGTTACTTCTGCCTGGTGGCAGTAATTGGAATGAGTGTTGGAGGGGAAGCTTTCCTGATCAGAGAGCGTTTGTACAGATCAGAGGGAGGAGGTTGGGATTTACCGATTTTTCTGTGTTTGTTGGTGAGGGAGTTGTACCAGGATGAAATGAAGGTTAGAATGCTTTCAATGAGTGAGCTGTAAGCCAGAGTGTAAAATATCTGTGCTGACATAAAAAGTCCTGGGTTTCCTCAGCAGATAGAGGCGCTGTTGTGCTTTTTTATTTACAGAGACAGCACGCTGGAAAGGACGGACAGGTGTCTACTTCTGTTCCTAGCTTGCTTACTTACTTGCCTTAAACTTTTGCTTCCATAACTCACAAAAAAATGTTGTTCATCAGCTTCAATTAGTGACCGGATGTGTTTCTGTGTCGGTCATGCAGAGAGACTCTAGTGACCCTGATGAGTCCTTCAGGCTTTGGCTTCAGAGGAAGCACGAGCAGCAGCACAGAGAGAGACAGCTGCAGGAGATGAAGAAGTTGGAGGAGGACAGTGGTTACCTCTTACGCAGCCGTGAGGAGAGTGAACGTGCCTTCAAAGTGTGAGTTCACTATTACTTTTTCAAAGGACCCTTATCTTCAGGCTGAGAATCAATCCCAGATCATTTTTCAACTTCTCAGTGTACTTTGATTTGTTTCTCTTGATGCTGTTTTCAAATCCATTAACATTACCCTAACCCTGGCTGAGTTTAATTACTTACATTTTGTATGACTTGCTGTAATCAATAATATTCACCTTAATACTAATATGGCAACAGAAACATTCTACACTTTGTTTCCTCAGGTGGCTGAGGCGGAAGCGGACGGAGAAGCGAGCAGAGCAGCAGGCAGCTCGAGAGCGATCCCGCAGGTTGGTGCTGGAGGAGCGACGTGCGCGGCGCATGAGGGACCTGCTTTGTACCGTCAATGAGAGCAAGCCATTCAGATTCACGGAACAGCTGGCCTACCGCTACTGAACCGATGGAACCAAACAAGAAGCTCAATATCAAACTGGGTTGTACACAATTGTTGTTGTTGCTAAGGGTTTTGTTTGTTCAGTTTTATTTCTGAGCTGTGTTTGAAAAGCGTTCACCACCGTGACCTCTACTAAGTGTTAACATGTCTGGGTAAATGATACATCAGGGCAAGTTTAAATGTTGTTAAAATGTATTGAGTGAATGGTTTTTACTTTAAATACTTTCTGTAGTGTCAGATGCACTTTACTTTAAATGGAGCTCTACATAAACCTGGAGTATGAGCTGAACTATTTTTGCTGTTTGCCTTTTCATCAGAGTGTTACATAGAGATACAAGGAAAACATGTGATATGATCACAGGTTTCTTGAACAGGGGGAAATGTAAATGATTCACAAATTCAGTGGGAAATATGAAAGAGACAAAAAGTCAGCACGCAAATGTCCTTTAGGTTTCTTTAATCCAGGTAAGGCAGCAACAATTAAAGAAACCTAAAGGACATTTGCGTGCTGACTTTTTGTCTCTTTCTAGTCTTGTTGCCGTCGTGCACCTTTTACTGTGTTTAACTGTCGAGAGTGCTCCTCGTTTGCTGTTTTTTTAAAATATGAAAGATATACCTGGCTGATTTGAAGACTTGAGACAGGCTAAACACAAGTATTTGAATTATTGTTTGATTAAAAAAAAGAATAAATGAAGTGTAATTTTATGTTGAACAATGTTTCGTGAATAAATAAAACATAAATACACAAGGACATATAGATATGGAATATCGTATTTTTAATTTATAGGCATGTACACATACACTTTCTTGTGCTACAGCATTTCAGAGTTAAATCTCAGTGAACAAAAGTGGCCAACCTTAAAAAAAAAAAACGGACTACGTTTCTGGTAAGCAGGTTGAATCTGTGTAGAATAAAAAAAACAATCTACCCTTAAATGTTTCTCTCCATTGGATTTACAGTGCAAGACTCGGCCTATCCCCTGTATTATCAACACAAATATAAAGACATATAAGACCGAACAAATATATTTATATTCCTTTAAACAGGAACGATTCAAATCTTTTATGAATAAAAGCTCCTCTTAATAAATGCAGACAGTTCTGGCAGCAGCTGTCTATTATTTAAAACAAATAAATAAACAATAAACACATAATCTACGATCTCATGTCAGTGAACATTTAAACCAGTTTTGTGCTCTGTGTGCCCAGAAAGGAATTACCACACTACCAACAACAACAACAACAACAAGGATGGAGGGAAAGTGGACAAAGTGAACAACAGAAGACATTTTCAGTTTCAGACGTGACACACACACAGAGAAGGACAGAGTGATCATTAAATATTCAGCATATTAGAAAAGATCTTCTTTATGTCTTATCAGATACACATTAGAAGAACAGTGCACTGTCTACAGTCTGAAGAATTATTACTGGCACTTAAATATGAAACGTTAATGAATAATGTAATATTGTAAGAAATAGAACATGAAAAAGTTCTATTTCTTAGGACATCAACAACTGAAACTTAGCTTCTTTTTTTTTGGAATATCTGTATATTTTGAATAAAACCCATTACATTTTCCAGAACAAGAAAAAAAAAAGGTTTCAACCACCGTTCTTCTCTTTGGCGTTTTCACAGTTCAGTGAGCTATAAGATATAAAGAGTGTAACATTAAAACAGTCACTGCTGCCAACTCACCAAATACAACTCAGCTAGGTTATTTTGGGAATCTTTCACTAAAAGAAGCTGTCACTGGAAGGAAAAGCCAAGAAACAAAAAGTAACTCAAGTACTGAACATGAAGCAAAACAACCACATAGGGCCGACAACACAAAAACAACAATATTATTATTCATCTTGCACTTTAAAGTGTACAAAAATAGAAATGTTCTGATCCAAAGCTCAATTCAATAAATAGCGAGAATACATATTTGAATGGAAGGAGTTCTGGTGGGATGTCCTTTGTTCTAAAGTTCATCTTTAGGGTTGATGTTGAGGCCCTGACCCCACACTGCCTGTGTGTCCAATGCCTGGATTACCTCGTCTGCCTGCAGCCTCTCCTACCACAGCAGAAGAAGAAGAAGACGTAGAAAAAGAAAAAGAAGAAAAAGAACACAGCACCAATTACAGTCATGTTAGCCGAAGCAGAGGGATGTATAAAGGATTAATAAGAAGGGATTTTTGAACAAATGGTGGATTTAGCTAAGTGCCTTCCAAAGGTGAAACTGGAGGGTCATCATATCCTATGTTGGTTTGAACAACTTGGATTTGACTAATATTATAACGTTTTTACACCGATTTCTTTCTCTGGAACTTGAATTTGTTTCGACCATATTTTTTTTTACAACATTCTATCTTCTTCTATTTGAATCAAAAACTGTTAAGATATTTCAGTCATGACCAAAGTGTTGGACTGCAGAACAACACAGCGTTCCCCAGAGCCATGCTGAAAGCTCTAAAGCGCCTAATAGTTGTCTCCCTTTACCCCTTTAAAGAATTAGTGAGAAAATGAATCACTATCATAACTACGGTTCTGTCCTTTCAGAGAAATACATTTACAACTTGTGTCTGACAAAAGAAGCAAAAAAAAAAGTCCAATTTACTGCCACTCTAACATGTAACGTCAGTTTTGACATCATTTGTCTTGAACAAAGACATTAGTTTACCAGTTCTCTGAAGAGGGGGTCCAGTGTGAACCACAGGGCGACAGCACACCGCTGCCCGCTGGTGACGGCCTTCACACCGTGTGGATTCTCCCCTCCTGAGGAGAAACCCACCATCCTGCCACACTTTGGCTTCACTGATGCCTGAAAAGGAGGAAAGAGACACAGCAGGAACGAAGGTGAGGTTCAAATGACTTTCATTTGGTTTTCAGAGCAGATACTTGCCCCAGTGGCGTGAAATCCCAATTGTTTCCATGTTCACTTTGTAGTTTCTACCGACATGTCAAGAAGAATGATTTGGCTACAGGGACTAAACATCTTTTCCAGTTAAATGTGTTATTGAATAGTCACACAAGCTTCCTAAGAAGGGAAATATGTGCCATCATCAGTAAAGATAAAGGTCAAACTACAACAGTGTAACAGTGTGTTCCTTTATACTGGTGGAATATAAAGATTATATTTTTGCTGTATATGTAGTGTGGCTGCCCTGTGCAGGTATCAAACCCCTGACCTGGGCATCCTCTTACCGTAACAGTTTTGGCATCCATTTCTGTGAATATGAACTCCCCTCCTTCAAAATCTCCATTGAGATATAACAGTGCACTGAAAATACAAAATAAAAAAAAACAGTAAAGCAGCGATAAGCAAAGGCACTCTGTTTATTTGAATGAGATGCAGACACTGGTAGCTTTGTACCTGTAGTCTCTGTACGTGTAGGCTGGAGGCTCCTTCCAGCACTCGTTGGCCTCGGGGTCGAGCAGACAGTTGTCGGCGTGGATGGGATGGCTCAGGTCGTTTCTGTGATCCTGTTGGCCTGTGAACAGACAACCAACGGAAAAAAAAAAACATAAATACATACAAATAAAGCCTTTTCAAATACAGTATTACATAAAAGTAATGTAGGACACTTTCTATGTACTTCTCCAAGACTTTCTTATAGGGTCTTTTATTCTAACATCTTCTTAGTCATACAGTATGTGAACCAAAACGGTTGATTAATGAAACCCTGATGTTGCAGCGCTCCTGCTGTTTCACTGTTACCACTACAAGAGTACAGGAATGTACGCTTATTTTCTGCCTAAGCTTGTTCTGATTTGCCCGCATTAAGAGTAAATCAGTATTCTATCAAACATTGGTGTTTAGTGTTTCAGTGTGGGAGTGACCTGTGATGGCTGTCCGGCACACCAGGTGTGTGTACGAGAAGTGCAGGGTGGAGTTGAGCAGAAAGTACGACTCGATAATCCGTCTCGCTCGCTCACTGATGTCATAAAACAGGCGAGCACTTCTCATCGGCACTCTGCCCTCGTAGCCATACTGCAGGTTAGAGGAATAGAAAAAGAGCCTTTTAAGGGGTGTATTTTGAATTGTTTGTTATGCGTTCAAAAAATACTTTTGTAACGTTTGGTCAAATGCAAGCCTTTAAAAATAATGTAGCCTTTAATTATTGGTTGAAGTACCTGCAGGGTTTTGAGTACAGTGGCGCCCTCAAACTTTTCATTGGGAGTGTGTGGAGACATCCTCCCTCTGTAACCGTCTCCTGCCATGGTAACAGCCTGAAAGATCAGAAAGAAAGGCAGATTGAAACCTCAAGTGCAGGGTAATACACAGCGCAAACACTAATTCATCAGGTTTCAAACATTTGAGCCAAGAGTAAACAAACAAAAGATTAATTATAGTTTCTGACAGTTCCACTTAAAACTCAAATTTTATTAATGTTGTGCAATGTCCTTACGTGTGCCAAGTGTCTAAGGTCTGAACACTCCTCTTCAGTTATGACATGATCCAGCAGCACCCTCTGGGTCCCGTTCAAGGCCGCAGAGTTATTCACCAGCTGCACGCTGTCGTAAACCAAGGGGCCTCCTGCATGGATCACAGAGCAATGCTATTCAAAGTATTTACTTTGCTATCTTAAGATATATCTACAAAGCAGTATTTACTTTCTCTAAGTATTCCAACTCTTATCCAGCTTAATCTGTAGCTGCGTTAAAGCTTTACCCTCTTTGAGCTGCTGAGGAGCAACAAGAGTGACGTTCTTCTTCTCTGAGATGGGAACATACTCCATCCAGCCATCTGTGCCCGAGGGAATCCTGCAAAAACAGAGTCTCTCTTTAGGAGTCAAAAATATGATTTCACATCTGCAATAACTGATTTTTTTTTTTTTTTGACCTCAGAACAGAAACCGGCTTTGAACACAATGTAAACAATATCATACAACTAAACTGATATGATGAACTTGTTAACAAACAGTTTCCTATTTCAACAACATTCTTGACTTAGTTAAGAGTTGGGTTTCTGGCAACAAAATTAATGTAAGTCACACATTCACTCTCATTGTCAACTCCAGAGCATTATTTCTGGCTTTTAAATTCCTAAAATAAAATCACCAGCCAGCCTCCTACTGTGTATTTTTACTCCTTGTTGCTAAGCCGGTGTCATACAGTTAGTGTTTGGGCTGTTCTATTTTGGTGAAAAAAAATGCAGGGAAAATGACCCATGACAGCATTGAAAGTAAACTAAACCAGAAGCTATGAATGACTCAATTGAGATGCAAAACATTTTAATTGAGTCATTCATAGCATAGTGTTTAATGAGGAAAACTGCAGAGTAGGATCATTAGTCACCAGAAGAAGACCTCTTTACAACCCTCAGTCATTTGAATACTTTTTATTACAAATTAGTGCCTATTTTTCTTACCTGTTCGAGTCATCCCTTCCCCCTGTGCTGCTCCAGTAATTCTGAAAATAAATAAAAAACATGTTATCTACATAGAAATGTGAAATCACACATTTGTCAGTATGGCCAGCAG